GTCCGAGTCCCGGCACACCCAGTGCACCAGACGTCGAACTGAAAATGAGGTACCGACCAGCCCTTCGCTCACGGAAATGCGGCAACGATAGCTGAATCATATTCAATGTGCCGGTGAAGTTGGTCTCAAATTGGTTCCGAATGTCGAACTCGTCTTGGTCCTCGCAGGCCCCGATCACGCCGTATCCGGAGCAGTTGGCGATTACGTCGATACGCCCGAATCGCGCAATTGTCTGGTCAATTACGCGTTTCACAGTCTCACGGGCCCGCACATCGCAGAGGAGGCCGAGACAGTTCTCGTGCTCGTCTTCGAGCTCTTTCATGGCTTCCGGGCTGTTTTCATAGGTGCGGCCTACGGCGGCGACGAGGTCATTGCGGGATAGGGCATTTTTGACGAGTGAGCGGCCCATGTGCCCGGTTGCGCCGAAGATCTAGTGAGAGTGATTGTTAGTGGAATGCTAGCTATAGGGTGGTTGGCGCGAGCCGGTAGGGCGGAAGTGGGGGAGTACGTACCAGCCAGACGAGTGGCTTCGGAGGATTCTGCGGGCCAGGAGGATCGGTGGTTGAAGGGAGATGTAATCGCGGTTCGCGAGAGGCCGCTGGGGAGGAGGGCCCGTCCCTTGAGGGAGAGGTCTGATCCATGGTGGTTGAAGAGGGGAGATTCAAATCCCCTCCGCATTTTGTCCGGGGTGACCCACTTTGTCCTCCTAACTAAACGACCTTAACTTTAGCTCTGTTACTTTGTATATTCTACGCGGCATTCAAGGTGATCGACCATTTTTCAAAAATTTGTCATAATTACATTTCCGATATCAATGCCTAAGCCAGTTACCGCCCAACCTCCCGTCGCAGCCGTCCTGCAGCTGTTGAGGGACTAGGCTCTGGCCAGCTGCCGACAGCGTCGTCAACTTCTTCCAGGAACGTCGTGCTATTATGAATAGAGGTGCCGCCTAGGACAACTCGTACACCCGGGGAGCTGGCATTGACCTGGGCCACCATCTTGGCCTCCTCGTAGGTCACGCCACCGACCATGAAGATAATTATATCCTGCGGCTTGTCCCGCGTATTGCCACTGCCTTCCAGGAACGGATATTGCAATTCCTTCAGACGGCCCTTGATCAAATTCTGGAGTGTGACCTCCAGACGGGGTGAGTGTTGGGTATAGACATTTTCAACACCCTTAAGACCCTTGAATCGATCCCTGGCACCGGAGAAGAACGAGGTTGACTCGAAGAGATCGGTGAATCCACCGGCAACGGGCGGGGCCTGGAGAGAGTGGTGGTAGGCGAGGAGCTTGGGGATAATGTTGACTTTGTTGGAGGGCACATTTCCTGCCGTCACCAGCAAGTCTAGAAGGATTGGTAGGGCGTTGTTTGATTGTTGCTCGTAGCGAAGTGCGTACAATGCTACCAAGCGCAGCTTATTCTCTGCAGGCACGTTGGGCATTGAAATAAGTCGTTGCAGTGACTGTCATGTAATCAGTAAACGGATCAAATACTAAGATAGGGAACGACATACCTTCAAATCATTGGCGTGGTTATCATTGCAGGCTAGGCTTTGCTCCAACTCACTCACATCGAGGAGGGTATCCTCTCCGACTCGCCGACTCAATTCACCAACAAGGGTGACATGTTTGCTGACGTTGCCCGAGAGCTTGCGGAACTCTGGATAATCCTCCACGAATCGCTTCATGTCGGCGATGGACTCAATATTCATGCTGCTTTGTGTCTTGGTTTGATACTGTTCCACGTATTCCTTAATGTTCTGGCCCAGGTCACCGAAGTTCTGGTACATGTTCTTCTTAAAGAACGGATCCTGATCCTGGGCTAGCACGATCTCCTTAAGCTCCGGCCTAATCTCCGGGACATCCTGTAAATCCACCCTTCCATTATTGATTCCGAGCAATTCGTGCACCATGGCTTGATATGTCCATTGCGTCAGCAGCGGGGTGATAGGATCGTCGCGGCGATCTAGAATAAGAAGGATTGGCGGCGTATCCGTCCGGCGGAAATTAAACAGCTGCTCCTCCTGTGTAATGTGGTATCGAACTTCGGTCGCGAGTTTCCGAGCCAGAAGACTGTTCTTCTCGTACCGAATCAAAGGGTTCTTCTTCAGCGACAGCAGTAGTGCTAGGACCCCCTCAGTGGCTCTTTGTAAGGAGTCGGGGTTCCATAGGTCTGGCGAATGGCTCCATAGTCGGGACAGCGGGAATCCCATGCCCATAGAGCAGAGATCGGGGTTGATCACGAGGAAATCGGCGAATTGTTCCTGCACGGTGTGCACGACCTCGTGGCTGTCGGCCTCGGCAAGCCGCTCGAGGGATGACTTGCGGATCATGTTACTCAGGTAGATGTGGTATTCGCCATATTTGGGTTCTCGGAGCTCGTCGACAAGCAGCTGGATTGAGCTTGGGGATGGGCGCACGAAACACAGGCATCGCAAATGTCGCATCTTCTCGCGTGCGGCGTTATCGAGGCGGTCAATAAGGTAGACTTCATGATTGAGGAGGGCAGACTGGGTGATGGCGGTTGAGACAATCGGAACCTGTAAAGGAAGGGATTAGCTATCATTGCCGATAGTGTGTTAAAGACGCGCAGCTCGTACTGTCTCACTGTCGAGCAACAGGATCTTCATTTTAGTTGACCCTGACGTCGACTCGCCGGCCGTCACCATCTTGGAGACATAGCCCGAGACGGCCGCGACAACGTCCATGGTGATAATGCCCGCGGGCAAGATATGTCGAGCTTGAGAGCTTGAGAGTTGGAAATAGAGTGTTCGGTCCAATCGTGGGGAGAAGGTGGAGAAGTGAAGTTGTTGAATGTTGAGTGTCCGCTTTCCACATGACTCTATTTTTGCCGTCTCTGAGACCCATCTTCCTTCTTTCTTCTCTTTTCCTCGGCTTGAATGTGGTGATTCTTCGGATATCAAGTCTTCTTCTAGGTCGACAATATGTTGCCCTATATAGATCACTGTATGTCTCTTCTTTCCCCTCCGCGGAGCTCCTTGAACTGATCCCCGCAGTGTTCAACTACCCGGCGCAGCTGACCGGCGCGTCCGTGGATGAGCGTACGTTCGCCTCTCGATAACATAGCTTCACAAGCTCCTAACACTTATTACAGTCAAGCTGATCGCATCGTTCCTGCTCTCCTACCCACTGGCCGGCCTGCTGAAGCGTATCCCCGACGCGCAACCTTGGAACAAGAATGCGTTCATCATCAGTGCCTCGCTCTTCTACCTCGTGGGGCTATTCGACCTCTGGGATGGACTGCGCACACTTCTCTACAGTGCCGTCGGCACTTATGCGATTGCCTACTACGTGGACGGCTCGTTGATGCCCTGGATCGGCTTCTTGTTCCTCATGGGTCACATGTCAATCAGCCACATCTACCGCCAGGTCCTCGACGATGCTCAGGTGGTCGACATCACGGGGGCACAGATGGTCCTCGTGATGAAGCTTAGCTCTTTCTGCTGGAACATCCATGATGGCCGCATGCCCCAGGATCAGCTCTCTGATTCGCAGAAGTACTCGGCCATAACCGAGTTCCCTAGTATTGCCAACTATGCGGGCTACGTCTTGTTCTTCCCATCGCTGTTCGCCGGCCCCTCTTTCGAGTATGTTGACTACCGTCGCTGGCTCGACACCAGTCTGTTTGAAGTCCCGCCGGGCACGGATCCGTCCAAGGTCCCGCCCACCAAGAAGAAGCGCAAGATCCCTCGTAGCGGAACCCCTGCTCTCAAGAAAGCTATTGTCGGTCTGGGCTGGATCTTCCTATTCCTGCAACTAGGCTCCCGGTATACCACAGACTTTGTCCTGTCGGACTCGTTCATGGACTATGCTTTCCCCCGCCGCATCTGGATCGTCTACATGGTCGGCTTCTCCACCCGTCTAAAGTACTACGGTGTCTGGTCTCTCACCGAGGGCGCCTGTATTCTGTCCGGCATGGGATACAATGGCTTTGATGGCAAGTCCGGTAAGGTCTTCTGGAACCGCCTGGAGAATGTTGATCCCTGGAGTTTGGAGACTGCCCAGAACTCGCACGCCTACCTCGGAAGCTGGAACAAGAACACCAACCACTGGCTGCGCAACTACATCTATTTGCGTGTTACTCCCAAGGGCAAGAAGCCTGGTTTCCGTGCCAGTATGGCTACTTTTGCTACGAGCGCGCTCTGGCACGGTTTCTACCCGGGTTACTACATGACCTTCGTCCTGGGTTCGTTCATTCAGACCGCCGCAAAGAGTATGTTCCACATTCTTGAAATCCCCTTTACTTTGATACTAATAAGATCAGACTTCCGTCGCCATGTCCGTCCCTTTTTCCTCACTCCGGACGGCAGCAAGCCGACGCCCTACAAACGGTACTACGATATCCTCAGCTGGGTTGCCACGCAGTTCATCTTGGCCTTCACTGTCCTGCCTTTCGTTCTTCTCAGCTTCGGTGACTCCATGACCGTCTGGTCTCGAGTCTACTACTACGGTATTGTTGGCACCTTCTCCTCCATCGCCTTCTTCGCCTCCCCCGCAAAGGCCTACCTGGTCGGTCAAGCGAAGCGTCGCAATCGTCCCCACATGACTCGATCTGCCAGCGCAGATATTATCCCACCGACAACTCTGGGTCTGCCCAACGACCCCGAGCGCGACTTTGACGAGGCCGTCCAGGAAGTCAGGTTCGAGATTGAGTCTCGTCGTCGCCGTGGTAGTGTCGTCACCATGCCCACTGGGGATGAGCTGAAGATTGCCGTCGAGCAGAAGATCGGTCGCAAGCTATAGGTTTGATAGATGTGAGGAGTTGTATAGATAGATGGTTATGGTGGTTCATGAAGGTTCGCTCAAGACTGTGTCTCTCATGTTCATTTCGGTTTATTTTCCCAGTACCACGAAGGGAACGGAAATCTTTTAATATTGCTAGTTGTTATCCTTGGTGAAGCTATCTAGCTCTGCGAGTAGATCAATAGTGGTCCGCAGCAGCCGATTGCCAAAAAATAGACTCATCCCACAAAATATCACCCTTCACTTTCATTTTCCACCTCCGCTCCCCAAACTCCGTTCTCATAGACAGCGCCATCCCGATTTCCCGGCCGCTCAGCATCAAAATCAAGCCTATCCGGAATCCTCATCCCAGGTAAATGATACCGAACAAACCAAACAGAAACACCATCCCGATACAACCAAGGATCCTCTGTCCTCCGCTGCCACCGCTCAAGCTTCGTTCTCAGCCTATCCAAAACCTTCGCATACTCCGGATCCTGCACCAGATTATGTACCTCATTCGGATCATTTTTCAGATCGTACAACTCCTCCGGCGCTCGGAAAAAGTAATCCCTCAATTTTCTTCCCCCAATCATTTTGTCACTCTCGTTCGAGTTTCGAATATTTTCCCACGATAACGAGCCGTATAGATCAGCTGCAAAGGGGAAATCTAGTCGCCATGCGAGATTGCGGTGGTACTTGTACCGCTTGTCGCGGATGAATCGCGTTGGCCAGTAGTTCGTTACTTCGTGGAAGGTATGGGATCCGAAGACTTCGTCGAATGATGGGTTTTGGGTGTCGGTGCCGAGGATCGGAAGTAGAGAGCGGCCGATGCGATTCTTGGTAGGGTCTATCAATTCTGGATGGTCGGTGAAATCAAGAATCGTGGGTAGAATGTCGACGTAGGATACCATGTTTGGACTGATTGATGGCGGTAGGCCAGGATGTCTGATTATCAGAGGCAGGCATACTCCAGCGTCATAGAGGGTTGTTTTCGAGTTTATGAATGGCGGGCCGTTGTCGCTTATGAAGATGACTAGTGTTGAGTCGGCGAGGTTTGAATCGGCGAGGTGCTTGATAACTAGGCCAACACCTTGGTCGAGACGATGGATTGAGTTGTAGTATTCCGCCAGCTCGAATCGTGTGCCTGGTGTATCGTTGATGAAAGGAGGGACGTTCACGTTTTCGGGTAGATATTGACCAGGTATGATCCTGGAATCGTATTTCTGATCATTCCCGAAGCCACCCCTGGTGCGGTCACGATGGGGGTCGATGAAGCCGATTGTCAGAAAGAATGGACGTTTATCCTCTTGCGACTGTTCAAAGAATTCATTTGCCTGGTCCGCAATTATTGTGACATCGCGAGTGTCGCTCTCCTTCTGCACCTCCCAGGGGTAAACAGATGCCGGGCCAACATGGATTTTGCCTAGGATTCCGGTTCTATATCCTGTTTGCTTCAACATTTTTGGAGCAGTCTCGACATTATCGAAGGTGACAAAATGATGGCGATGGCTCGCGAGACCATATTGTCCGTTTTGATGGGTGTGGAGGCCGGTATAAATGACCGAGCGACTTCCACTGCAAGATGCTGTGCTGGCGAAAGCTTGTTCAAAGCGTGTTCCGTTGGAAGCTAACTGGTCGATGTTGGGGGTCTTGATATCTTGCGCCCCGTAACAGCTCAATTGCTTCCCTAGATCGTCTGCGACGAGCAGCAGTACATTCTTCTTTGCCATCGTAGGCTTCAGGGGAGAATGAAAGAGTTGACGTGGAGGAAGAGACTCAAATCAGTTTGTTACTACCAGCGTGGGCTATTACTGGGGACCTTTATAGCTAGAGTTCAAATAATCACCTTTTGTATGGTAAGGCCGCTGACCACAAATAGCGGCGAAGGGTCGTTTCTAGCGCAAGCCGGGATCGGAAACTACTATATCCATCAAACACGGACTTCAAATGTGACATTATCTTTCAAAGCGTAATGGAACACTGAGATGATGCGATCATCGGTAAATAGGAGATTTCTGATTTTACCGAGCGCCTCGGAAGGCTATTGTGCAAGCGAATGCTTGACTGATGCGAGAGTTTGCTTACATTTCGCCATCGCCTAATATCGACAGAGTCTCGGTGTGAAGGATCCCCAGGCGCAGGAACAAGGCTGCGCCGTTCTAACCGTTGACGTTATTCTATGGATGGATTGTTGCTTTGATCAATCAATATGAGTACTATACATAAGTTGAACTTGAAGTGGATATGCCATGGTTATAAGAGAAACACCAATCTTCCAGTCACCCATCGATTAAGCGATCGCACTTTCTAAACATCCTGTCACTCTCAGCTGTTTCTGCGATGTCTGCGTTTTCGAAGTTCCTTCTTTTCACTCTGCTAGGGCTCAGCAATGCCCAATTAATCGGCCCAGTCGGCCCAACAACAGCCCTGAAGGACAAAACCATTGAATGCAACGTCCTCGACTACGGTGCTGTTGCTGATAACGCGACGGATATTTCCACTCCTCTGGAGACAGCCTTTACCGAATGCGTCCTCAGCCACCCCGGAAGTCGTCTTGTAGTCCCAGAAGGTGACTACTTGATCAATCGGAGCGTGGTTCTGAGCAACGCAACGAGTTGGGCATTTCAATTGGACGGCCTCATTACCGCCGCGTACGGTGGCAACTGGACAGTTGATCGTGAGTTGCTTCTCCAAGGCTTTGCTGGGAAAGCCTTGATCAACGATACTATCAATGGAGAGGGTGACCATATATTCTTGTTAGATGTGCTTGTTATCGTCAATGGTGGGTCTTGCGCCTGTGACAGTGGAATGGCCAAAGACGGAGGCTGATAGCTCTAGCTGTGGACTTTGAATTCTATTCATCAAATGGTCTGGGGGCGATACAGGGGCAGGGCTATATCTACAGAAATCTGGACAAGTATGTGCTTCATGTTGGATCTCTAGTGATTGCTAACCAGTTTTCAAGCACCGACCGGCCTCGACTAGTTCGACTCTTTTCTCCGACAAATGCCTCAGTTCATGATTTGATTCTCGTCGACAGTCCAAAGTTTCATATAGTTCTCGATTTCGCGGTGAATGTGGAGGCGTATCACTTGACTATACGCGGTGCGAATCTTGGGAGCTATGATGGAATTGATGCTATCGGCACCAATTATCACATCCATGACAGTGAAGTGAGTATGAATGCGGAATTGGATTTTCAGAATTTAACTTCTCATGATCTTCAACAGGTGACAAATCGCGATGAATGTGTCTCAGTCAAAAGCCCTTCTCATTTCGCTCTCGTTGAGAACTTGGTTTGTAACCAGGCTGGCTCAGGGGTGTCAATTGGCAGTCTCAATGTATCTGCCGAGATATCAAATATCGTGCGTTTTTTTTTCTACGTTTGTCTGAAACACATGCCAACACCCATACTAGGAAGCCAAAAATATCAGCATCATCCAAGGAAACAACATTGCATTTATCAAAACGTATCCTGGTGGATCGGGCTACGTGACCAACGTCACATTCTCCAACTTTAGGTCCCTTAATAGTCTATACGGACTGGATATCAACCAATACTGGCAGAACACTTTCGAGCCCGACACTGGATCTGTTACTCTGAGCAATCTGGTATTCCGAAACTTCTCCGGTATGATCAATTTAGCAATCACTGTCCCTTTCCTAGCTAAGTTAAGCAGGCTCAGTTGTAGATGGAGCACTACGCCCTCCTCTCTACCTCGTCGCTAGCGATCTGACATTCGCAACCAATGTAACCGTGGAAGAGTTTACAGTCTGGACTGAAACAGGCACGGATATTGTCAACAAGATCAGTAATGTTTTCGGCACCGGTGATGATAGCTATGGTCCCAATGACGGCATTGCGTCGTTGCAGCCTGGGCAATCACTATACACATACACATCGACATACGCGGTTACCGCTACTCCGGCTAATTGGCAACTTCCGACGACGCCAACGTGGGCGGCTCCTAGTACCGGTTACGGAAGTAAGTCTCTATGTTTTTCCCTTGCTTCCTTCCAAGTGGGGTGTCTAATCTATCTTAGCTGCGTCGCCTATACCTGTCTATAGCCCAGCTCCTCTCTGGCGTGCCGGTGGGGTTGATTATGATTTGCATTACTGGGGGAGCTTCTAAGGAGATGGACAGCGACGATTATCTTGGAGTAGGAACTGAGCTGAGAGAGAAAGTTCGTATTCTTAAGTAGACGCTGTTGGCAAAGCTAGCCCTATATAAATTATCTAAATGTGATCCTGTTCGAAGGGGGTTTCCATAAAAGGACAACTCGAAATCCATTGCATCCACTCAATTGAGGCAGACTATCGTAGACCTTTGGGATATTAGATTCTTGAGCTACGGGGGACGTGCATGTCTCGGTTCATTTCTCGGATATGAAAAGGAACGCTAGAATAAGATATATGGGTCACACGTTTATCCCTTGCCAGAGCATAACTTACACATAGTATCGGCTTGAAGAACTTCCACCAATCTTAACCCTATACTCTGTTCCTGATCCTGCTTTCGACATTAACCGAGTAGGGCTCAATTGAGCGGGGCTCTCGGGCCAATCTCCGGAAGGGTCCATTTTGATGCCATCGGCGCTTACATGGCGAACGATGCGGCTAGTAATTGGAGGTAACGGACCAAGTATAGACTTGTCTGAAGCAGGATTGCAAGTATACCAGCTATTCTATTAGCCATTTGCTTAGATTGAAATGCCAGTCTCGCAATCTGTGGCGCTCTTACTTGTTCCTCTTTGTTGAAGCGATGTTGACGATGGCATCATGTCTTCTACCAAGCACGCATTTTCAATCAGAGATCGATCACTCAAGAGTATAAGATCGTGTATCTGATTGCTTTTCTTGTGTGTGAATACTCACCCTTGATTCGAGCTGTTGATTTGATCGCATCACCTTGAGATTCCCCAGCATCGGCGTGATCAATACGTCAAACGTCTCACGATGGAAACCAAACCTCCCTCGGAGTCCATCTCCCCCAACACCGACGAAGTCCAAATCTTCAAAAATGGACGCAGTGCGACCCTCGTCGAGCCAGAAGCTCCAGAATCCCAATCATTGTTCTCAGCCCTCTTCAACTGCAAAGCCAAATATGACCTCGACGCAATAGCAACCACTCGAAGCGTCTTTGACGACCCCCTCCTCGCCAAATACTACGCACCGCATCCCTCCTACGAGAACCTGCACCGCTTCGACCCAAACGCAAGATGGACATACCGCGAAGAAGCCTCCATTCGCCGCAAAACGGACTACACCATCCTCCTCTGGATCCTAGTCATGTTTTTCGGTCTCAATCTCGACCGTGGAAATCTTGGAAATGCAGCCGCTGATAATCTCCTCGATGACCTGAATCTTACCACGAATGATTACAACAATGCGCAGAATATGTACCGCATTGGCTTCTTGATCTCGGAAATCCCCTCCCAGATGATCGGGAAGAGACTTGGACCTGATCGCTGGATTCCTTTCCAAATCATTGCCTGGAGTTTTGCGTCCGGTGGCCAGTTCTTCATGCAGAATCGGGCCGGATTCTTCGCGTGTCGGTTCCTTTTGGGGCTATTCATGGGTGGATTTATTCCCGACTCCATTCTGTATCTGTCTTACTTCTATAAGAAGACTGAGATGCCGTTGAGGCTGGCGCTGTTCTGGTTTACGGATTCTATGTCTGGTGTCATTGCTTCGTTTATTGCTTATGGGGTGCTACATATGAGAGGTGTTGATGGAAAGGAGGGGTGGAGGTGGTTGTTCCTCATCGAGGCTTTGATCAGTCTTGTGATTGGGGGTTTCAGCTTTCTGTTCCTGGTTCCTGGTCCCACGCAGACGAAGACTTGGTGGAAACCGAAGGGGTTTTTCTCGGAGCGTGAGGAGATCATCACTGTGAACCGGGTTCTGCGCGATGATCCTTCGAAAGGAGATATGCATAACCGCCAAGGTCTTTCGCTCTCTATGTTGTGGAAAAGTCTGAAAGATTACGATCTGTGGCCCGTCTATGTCATCGGCATGCTTTTTGAGATCCCCACGGCTCCCCCGAAGACATACCTCACTTTGTCCTTGAAGGCCAATGGGTTCAGCACTTTTCAAACAACCCTGCTTGGTATCCCCGTGACTGTCTTTGCATCTATCAACCTCCTCCTCATCACCGGACTGACAGAGCGAATCCACCAAATCTCCCTGATTGGTCTGTTGACACAGGTGTGGTCCTTGCCACTTCTCATCATCCTCTATACCTCAGCTGGAAACTTGAGCGAATGGGGTCTCTACGCCGTGACATTTGTCTTACTCGGCTGGCCGTCTCCACACGCTGCTCAGGTCGGGTGGTGTTCTCGTATAAGCAATTCTGTTCGGACCCGGGCTATCAGTGCCGCACTTTACAATATCACCATCCAGTTGTCGGGAATCGCTTCGTCCAATATCTATCGCAGTGATGATAAGCCACTCTATCGACGTGGGAATGGACAGCTCATTGCCATTAATGTCGCTGCAATTGTTGTCTACGCTCTGGTCAAGATTTACTACGTGGCTAGGAACAATTGGAAAAAGCGTCAGTGGGAAGCTCTTCCTGCGCAAGAGAAGGCCGCATACCTGGAGACGACTTCGGACGAGGGAAATAAAAGACTGGACTTCTTCTTTGACAGCTAGTGCAATCTACAAACTTATTATGTGGTGATAGTATATGTCTTCTAAACTGGATCGGATTGCTTCAGGCGCAGTCACAAGTCAATATGTTCCTTGAGTTCAATTGCACAGTTATTCAGTAACAATACTTGACATATAGTACTTCACTTGGGCAAGTAAAGGTCAAGGCAGGCCTGTTCGGCTAGCTCACTAATATAATACCTAGTATTGTCAAAGTCGATGTTGGTTAGGCTGTTCCAGCTTCATCAAACGATCCAAAAGATACCGCCAGATCTTGTGTCATTGAGAGCGACTGAGAGTGGGATAATGTAAAGAGAGTTGAACTCGACTTAAGACCTTCCTTGGCAGGCCAGCGCAGGCTTCTCGCCAGGATCTTCTCTATGAAGTTCGCCTTCAAAATCAACAGTCTGCGGCGTGAGGCTCCGTTCAAGTCGCGAATTCATGCTTATACTAGATACCATAGTCTGGCTGAGACGCTGAAATCTCCCGGTTTGTCTCCGGCCCACGATGTAGCTTGACAGACCTTGAAAAAGCCCCCTTTTTGAATTACGAGAGGATCTTCCGGCCTATGAGAGTGTACATCTTCAAAAAAGTGTAACAGGGGGTACTGTAGGGCAGAATAGTATAGACTAACGTTGGAATAGATGTGCTATTGCTCCATAGAATGATACACCGGGATAGTATGCAAATGAAATACACAAATTCAAGCTCAAGCTTATCAGACAAAGATCAAGGCAGGTGTTATGCATTACATATTTCAGTGCCAGGAAACTCAAAGGTTCAAAAAATTCAAAATGAAAACCGTGGAAGTGGGAAGTGGCAAGAAAAGGAATACTGTCGAGTGGCCGTAAAGGAGAAACAGATGGGGATATTATTTGGTGCGTACAGTCATATCGTGTAGTCGTGTCAAAATATGCAAAGAAGCGAAGAAAGTGACAAATTGCTCCGGAGACGAATATTGTCTCGAGCGTGGGAATAGAATGTAACAAAAGATGTATTGTGTCGTGGGAATATGGATGGGAATGGAATGGAATGAAACTGTAGTCGTGGTTTGAGGAAACAAGTCCCAATATTCGGTTGAAGGAAAGTTGATTGTTAATTGCAGGGCAGTGCGGATGTGGTTGAAGGAAAGAATTGTCCAAGTCGTGGTTGTAGGTAGGCAATGGAAGGAGAGGGGTTTGCAAGAGTTGGTCAGAGCAGTGTGGGTTATTAGAACCCTGTTGTTGTGCCAATGGCAGCCAATGTGATCTGCAATTCGTTAGATGTGTTGTTTGTTTACATTGGGATTGATTTGACTCACGATGATTACGATGATCACGACTCCTAGTGAGATCATCCAGCGATTAAGATTCCTCCACCACCGGGCGTTGTTGTATCGTCGCTGCTGCATATCTACAAGCTGCGATTCAAGTGCCATCTCAACATCGTCGTCCGATTCCAGCATTTCCGGTCCCATTTTGGGCTTGGGCGGAAGAGGGAGGAAAGAAGCGACAATCCAAGCCAGGGGGAAGATGAACCCTAACACGAAAGAGTAGACTTGGATGTTCCTCCGTCCAAAGACGGGCTCTGTAGTAGAATCCATAGAGGGACATGTCCACGCACTAGCAGAATGCTGGATGTTGCGTTTGTCATGGTACAGATGTGGGGACCAGCTGTGTCGCAGGCGATGACGGGGACCACCGGAGACTTCATATTCGTCAGGCTCGGGGGTCGGGACCCAATGGGCGCGGGGATCCCGAGGGTCACTATCGATCCGCTTCTGAAGGAAATGAACACGATCAGGCGCGCGAGGGCGAGGCGGTGCGTCCATTTCGGGCGATCCGGGTTGTTGTGATGGTGGTGGTGTTGTTTGTTGTGGTGACACGGGTCGTTGCGGTGATCGAGGTCGCTCTGGTGAGCGCGGACGCGGAATGTTGAGTGGCGTGGGCATTAAATTGAACACACTGGAATTCCCTGTGCCGGGACGCGCTGAAGAGGGCCGGCTCTGATCGAATATTGACAACGCAGAGTTCAGGCCGAGAGCATCTGCACAGTAGTAGACTTTGGCCCAGGTTGGGATGATTTGGAACAAGTTGCTGGAGCTGGTACCCGGGCGCTTCATGCTCCGCGTGCTATTACTGCGCTTGGACCCCGAGGAGAGGCTGTGTGGGAATGTAGGGCGAGATGGAAGGTTGGTCAGGCTGTCCAGATGCTCATCTTCGTCCGCGTCCTTGACGAGCCAGATGGATGAGGTTGTCTTATTCTGGCTCAGAACAGCACGGGCTGGAGCAGAAGGTTCCGAAATCTCTGCACTAGAAGTCTCGCGAGGAGTTGGCTCGTCAGAAAGCTCTTCATCATCCCAAACAGATGACACTCTCGATAAATGAGGGTTCCAGCGGCCCGATGCAGGGCCAGGTGTAAAATCACGTTCACTGGACATAGACGATTCTGCTCGAGAACTTGAAGATGGAGCACGAATGCGCGGGTATTGGATGGGAATACCGCTGTCAATGGCAGCTTGCACATCAGATACAGAGCGCAAGCTGCGCGAGGAAGATGTCGCAGAGCGCGACCGGCTTCCCGAAGGTACATTGGATACAGAGCGGAACGATGTCATAGACCGCAGGGGTGGGCTTGAATGGAAAGAGGGTGTACTCCCATTGAAGTGCTCGGTTGACGAGGCCATATGGATCCACGGCACACCACCAGGGTGCCTCACCACTGTTCCGTAAGATGAGAGGGAATTTGAGCGAGGGTCCGAGTCGTGAGAGTGAGATGTCCCAGGAGGAAGGAAGTTCACGCTGGAGTTATCCAGAGTGACAAAGTTCGGGCTGGAGGGTGCGCCGATCCGCTGGACATTAGGGCTCGAATTGATCCAAGACTCATCCTCCTCCGAGCTCGCAGACTTGGGTGATGTGGGTGGTTCGGACAGCACGGCCTTGATAGTGGGCGTGGCGGTGGGCAATACAAGCATCTCATCGTCTGAGAACTCGGCCTCGGAAGGCTCGGAGCCATAGTCGGGTGCTTTGCCAGACAGGATCTCTGGCAGCGACGATTTGCTGGACAGCGGATCATCATCCCACATCCCCGGCGGCGAGTTGCCGGGGTCGATAGTAGAGGAAATGTCCCAGCTGTCGACAACTGAATGGTCGCGCGCACTACTCTCCGCACCAGCGCTGAAGGTGGGCGAGGACCATGTCGATGTAGACGGCCCGGGCGTGTCGGCATAGCTGAACCCGGTATCTGAGATGTACTCTTGCGGATATTGCTGCTGTCCTTTGCCGGGAATTGGCAGCAGAATCTGTTCTACCTTGGTTGGGAACGGGGTGGCCGTGTAGAAGTCGACGTCCTCCTGCTCGCTGACCATGCGCAAAGACCGAGTTGGCGATCTCTCATTGTTGTGTGCTGAGCTGCGCTCTTGCAAAGCTCTCCGCCTCCGCGGGGGAGGCGAGTGTGACTGGACGTGTGAAGACATGTTGACGATGTCAAATTAGATCATGGTCGAAGAAGATAGTAAGAGCCAAAAGAATGTAAGTGTGCGCTCGAGGTCGAGCCGTCAACAATCCAGCAATATAAGTGATGTCAATCGAAATGGAAGAGTTGTTTTTGTTTTTCTGGATTGGATCGATCAATGTAAGGAATGTTCGCCCTGGGGTCGGGTTGATTTCCAGACTGGGAAGACTGGAGAAGTTCTAGATGGCCGAAAGGAGTTCCAAAAGAGTGTCAGACGATTAAAGAATCATCGAGAGGGGGTCAATTAAAGATCGTGTCAAACGTAGCAGGCCATGAAAAGAGCGTGAAGAAGCGTTAAAGGGACATTAAGCAGTTTCAAAAGAGCGACAAAAAGCAGACAACGACTGGGGAAGGAGAAGCTAAGCACGAAACATGAGACATTCTCGAGGCCAGGGGGAAAGGAATTTTGTTGCCCAGGGCGGCGGTGAACGGTGATGCAGGCGCCTATCACTGACTGAGATCTGGGCCCCAGGGGTATGCACCCTGCACGGCCCCAACTCACCTTTTTGTACTGCGTATAACTTCTTCTGCGGTTCCTTTTTGGGTCTCTTTTGGCCGTTTTCCCGCGCCCGACTGTGGGTTGTGATACGTCACCTTTCTACGGTAAGGCCCTTCTTGCCGACCTCGTGCTCTTTCCTTCTTTCTTTGCTCCTTTTTGGTATCCTACTGGTTCCCTATCGACTTTCCCAAGATTTCCTCATCCCCCTCATGTACTTGTGTGCCCGGTGGAGCCGATGCGTTGTCACTCCAGGATCGAATTATCGAATTAGCGCCCTGTTGGACGGACTTGAGGGGCCTGTCACTCCTCACGCCATTATTGCAATTCTGCCCACCTGCTATTGACAGAGGACACTCGTGAAAGTCGGAGAATTCTGTCCACGATCCCTCCCTGCGTAGTTTCATTGAGGTGGACCCTAGGGAGTTCGCCTGCAGATGATTCCTCATCCTAGGGCGGTTCTAAATTGTGAGCGTCACTCGTGGACGCTCGGTCCATCCGTTCGGCTGACCTGGGAGAACGATCCTAGTTTGGGACCTCTGGTCAGCTAGTGAATTATAGAAATGCAATTGATGAGTCTGAACACTCAGAACCTGAGGCGACAGCTGATGCTAGGACGTAACTGAAGACAAAATCACTCGGCTCGATTCACCTCTACCACGGACGGTACTGTACACTGTATTACACACTGCGCCACCACCACCCATGTATAACGGCCCCCGGTGCCTGTATGTATGGTCACATGCAGTCCCGCCCCCAACAGAGGATTTGCCTTGATAAATTGGCCTTCTTCGAATCCACCCACAAGTATCAACTCTCCACGTCTTGGCCTTGTCCACGATGGCTCCAGTTGATGGCATTCTGGCTCGTCTGAAGGTTCTATACTCCAAACACCAAGGTATGCCCTCCCCCTGGAATCCAAATCCTCCCGATTCTTGACGTGAAATCTCGACAGGTCACTAACTCAATCCCCCAGACGAACCGTCACTGTCGGTGCACAGCGTCGCTTTCCTCTCTGTAAATTAAAGCTACCCCGTAGAAAAAAAAAACATACTTTGCCACTAACGTGATTTATCTAGGTCGCCCTTACTTGCGTCTATGTGGTGCCTTTCTATCTTTCTCATGCCACGCGCCCCTCCCCCAGTCTGAGCCGCGACGCCCCGTCTGTCATTCGCGCGCGCATCCGCGCTGTCACGGGCTCATGTATCATTTGCTCGCTCGCCGTCCTGTGGATCATTGTCGAAAAGGGCAATTCTTCCCTCGGCGCCGCACTGTCTCTGTTAGGCTGGTGGCCGATCGATCTGGGTGATATTGCCCGGACTTTCCTGCTTACCGTGATCCTCTTCATCGGTCCGCTGTTCGAGCGCGGCATTGTTGAAAATGAATGGCGTGATTGGTTCCGTCGCAGCCGGTATTCCGAATCCCTGAGTGGCTGGATCGGGTGGAGGAATTATATCGCTGTAAGTGATCATCGTGACTTCGTTGCTAGATTTTGATATTGACCTTGTCGCTCAGGGCCCTGTTACGGAGGAGGTCATGTTCCGCTCAGCCATCATTCCTTTGCACTTGTTGGCGCACGTCTCGCCTGCCTATGTGGTCTTCGTCTCCCCGTTGTACTTTGGCATCGCTCATATTCACCACTTGTATGAGTTCCGCCTCACTCACCCGGATACTCCGGCTTTGGCGGCGCTGTTACGCTCACTCTTCCAGTTTGGCTATACTACCATCTTTGGCTGGTATGCCACCTTCATCTACCTGCGAACGGGTTCCTTGCTGGCTGTCATTCTGGTTCACAGCTTCTGCAACTGGTGTGGCTTGCCCCGTTTCTGGGGCTGTGTCGAGGCCGCCGAGCCGCAAGGTCCACCTATCACTCGTGGAAAGGAAGACTCTGATGGGACCGGGCCGTCTTTCAACGATGGCAGGTTGAGCATTGGTTGGACTCTCGCGTATTATCTGCTCCTGGTGGTCGGAGCGGTCGCATTCTCCCAGTGTCTATGGCCCTTGACCCATTCATACAATGCTCTGGTTACGTTTTCGTCGGTGGCAAAAACGGCGACGGCAAATACCAGCCAGCGAATGATTTCGTGACATTCATGAGTCTGTATCATTTGTTTCGTTGTATTTATGCATGGTCGTAGATTATTGATTGACGCGGGTCTGTTTGGCAATGTTTCATTTACTCCATGAACTGGAAGGTCTCATTGGGATGGTTACTGTATCAACTTTGGTGCTTTGATGAACATTTCAGGTGGCTGGGGCTTTTGCATATCTACGATCACCTGAGCGATAGGCATTTACCGGCGATACGAACTCTAAGCAATCAAAAGGCCTTCGAATCAAACATACGTTCGTAATATATGGAGTCGAGATGTCTACGATTAGCTGTTCCAAGGTTGGTTCAATTTTATTTAAATTGTGGTCGAAAAAAAAGTTCGTGCCGTTCCTGACCCAAAATATACATCTACTCCACATCGAATATATACACTATGCTCAACTCTATCGCAGTAACCCAAAACCTCACACCCAAACTAACCCGATTTTCCAAAACGCATAAAAGATGCATTTGGCTCTACTAGCTATTGTTGATTCTAATTCCCAAAGTAGTTCTTCCGTATTTTCACAAAAAGCCCAAATCCCCTCACCAACACTTCGGTCTTAACTCCGCTCAGCCCACTCCAACCCCGAATCAGGCCAAATCAAAATAAACACATCCCACCAAGTATCCAAGACATCTCGCAAATAGTTTAAACCTTCCAGATCTTCCTCGGTCAGATCGGCAACTCAATTGAACACCTTCTGTAGGTACACGGGCACCTCCCTGTGCACCTCAACCCTTGCAGCGGGTTCACACCGAGCCCACCCCTCCAAACCTTAGTGAATTATGAATAGACTAAGACACTCATTTCCTACAAGTTCAATAGTCGGGATCAGGATGTTGTGATCGATATGCTCAGTTAGGAGGCTATTGTTTATTTTGTTGCTGGTGGGAAGGTAATAGTTCGCGAAGGCCTTTGGAAGATGTAGGAAGGGATACTAGCCTCGCAGTCCACGATTTTACTTATTGGCCATTATTTGGTCGCTGCAGGATGCCCTGCGGATGAGTGTTGCAGATGCAGCCTCGATCTTGCAGATGTGAGTGGGAAATGTACTACGAGAGGGTTGGTCATTATTCGTTTGGCTTGCTTCCTATAGCCAATAGCCTCTCATCGTCGAGGGGCTTGTAATCGTCAAATAGCTCATTCATCCCCAGTACCCCATTTCTGCGGTTGCCATATCATCTCAGCTGGTCTCATGGGCAACACTATGTTCCCTTTCTTCGTACGAGGCCCTGGCGGCCTCGAGAACATATCGGCGTCCTTTATAGCTTGTGCCTAGCATGACCACGCTCTGCCCGGCCTCAACGACTTCCTTGTTGACTTCTCCATTGCCTTTCAGGCACGACAAGTAAGGAAGGAAAAATGTAGATCGGCAATTTTGTGGGTGTTCATGTAACTACCATGACGATGTGAATGTGAATGAGATTTCCATGTATTCCATGTAATGTACAAATATCTCGCTTTCTATAAATACAAGCTCTAAAATGGAGATAAGATGGGTCATTCCGAGATCAGAACACCACATTGACTAATTTACACCCCCTAACAACAATAACTCGTCGTCTCTTTTCCCAGTCATTCTTCTCCCGAAGCCACAGCTTGCCCTCGGCAGTCTCCAAGATCCGGCTAATGATCCAGTCTTGCTCCTCCTGGGAAGGGCCTTTGCCCTGGGACGAGGTGATGGGAGACATCATGCGGGGAATGGTAACAGCGCAGCGCAGCTTTCCGTTGATTTGAATGGCGACTGTTTGGCCGCCGCGGGCAGCGAGGACCTCGGCTTGTTCGTCCGTGAGAAGGTTTGTTGGCCACGGTGAAGACAAAATAGAGCGGAGGGAAGTTGAGTCCTTGATTAAGGGCTGGTGCAACAGTTCCCAGGACTCGGAGGCCAGGGCGGGGGCAATGGGTGAGAGGAGGCGGAGGAGAGCGGAGAGGGATAGGTAGTAAACAAGAGGAGAGGAAGGTGGAGTGGATGAAAGGGTATTGGTCAGTTTTGTCAAGTCCGAAATGACGGTGTTTAGTCCGTAGGGGTTGCTTTCGATGCAGGTTGTGACAGATGAGATGGTCTTGTGAGTGGCCAAGACGGCGTCTGTGTCGGAGTCACTTAAATCTTGCAAGGAAGAAGGGAGTGATACCGCATGACCTGCAGCGTTCAAGTCTGACGCGGAGATTGCCAACGAGGACCCAGTCAGTTGGTGCTGAGCGTCCAAGACGAGCTTCCACAGTCGTCCAAACCACCGCTCAACTCCGACAATCTTGGTCTCGTCCCACTCCAGCACTTCGCTGACTGGCGCAGAGAATAGAATGTGCGCGCGAGTGGCATCAGCGCCGTATTTGGTTGCGCACTCGGTTGGATCCACGCCGTTGTACTTGCTCTTCGACATCTTCTCATATGATACGTTGGGGGTGATTTGGGTTCCAGTTATCAACGGTTTATCGGGGTTGGTGAGATCCACTTCCGCTGGCAGCAAGAATCGACCAGTGTCTGGCTCCGTGAAGGTCTTGCCGTGCACCATTCCCTGGGAAAGAAGGGTCTTGAAAGGCTCTGGTGGTGCGCCAGAGTTATCGGCATGCGCACTAGCTGGGAACAATTCCGATTGAGACAGGAACTTATAGATAAAGCGAGCGTACAGCAGGTGAAGGATGGCATGCTCAACACCGCCAATGTACACATTCACTGGCTGTACGACAGATGGCGAGAATGGAGCATCCTTGTTCTTAGTATCTAAGAAACGCAGATAATACCAGGATGAATCAACGAAGGTATCCATGGTATCTGTATCGCGGCGCGCTGGGCCTCCGCAGCTTGGGCAATTGGTGTGAAGCCACTCTTTGGATGATTCAAGAGGGTTTCCCTTCTTACCCTTTAGCCACTCTCCCTCGATCTTTGGCAGTTTGACGGGAAGGTCCTTCGCAGGCACAGGGACAGGGCCACAATCACCACAGTGGATGATGGGAATAGGTGCACCCCAGTATCGCTGTCGGCTGATCAACCAGTCGCGCAGTCGCCACGTCTCTTTGAAATCGGCTTGTCCTACTTGCTTGAGATCGTTGACAATCTGCGTTGCCGCCTCTTTGGAGTGCAGCCCTTGGTACTTCCAACAATGCGAAGTAAGGACACCGTCCTGAGTGAAAGCTTTTGCATCCTGAGCAGGGACAAGAGTTTTGGATGTGTCACTTTCACCAATGACGAGGGTGATGGACTCGGGATTCACGTTCTCCTTGAAGAACGAGATATCTCTAGCGTCGTGACCAGGAACACCCATGACTGCTCCCTCGCCATAATCACTCAAGACGTAAGGCGCGACAAATATGGGGAGCTCTCTCTGGACATGAGCACTTTCATTGTCGATTTTTCGCAACGGATGAGATGCCGTGACACCATCAAGGCGGTAGCCCGCTTTTGAGTCGGCCGGGAGCGATGAAGCCTCGTCCAGGAACGTTCGAAGTGCGCTGTCCTTCTCTGCAGCCTTTAGCACGATGGGGTGATCCAGCGAAAGCGCAAGGTATTCAACGCCGTACAAAGTATCCGGACGTGTCGTAAACACATCCACGTTGACTTCGCCGTCCTGTCCCTCGATAGTCACGGGGAAAGTAACCTTCGCGCCAACGGATTTTCCAATCCAATTCCGCTGCATAGACAAAACACGGTCGGGCCAGCCGCCAGCAAGCGAGTCCAGATCCTTCAGTAGCGCTTCCTTGAAATCGGTGATCCGGAAGAACCACTGTTTCAAATTCAGCTTTTCCACTTTGGCTCCCGACCGCCATGAGAAGCCATTGGCATCGACCTGCTCATTCGCCAATACAGTCTTATCAACAGGATCGTAATTGACAAGCGCCTCTGCTTGATACGCCAACCCCTTCTCATACAACATCAAGAAGATGCGCTGGGTGTGCTCATAGAACTCCGGCGCACAAGTAGCTAGTTCCATATCCCAGTCGAATGAAGCAGAGATACTTCGCAGCTGCTCTTTCATCTTCGCAATATTCTGCTCCGTCCACTCCGCCGGGTCCACGCCTCGCTCTATCGCTGCGTTTTCCGCTGGCAGACCGAAGGCATCCCACCCCATTGGGTGCAGCACGTCATGACCGCGCATCTTGTAGAATCGTGACAGTACATCGGAAATCGTATATACTCGCAGATGGCCCATGTGCAGTGTGCCGGAGGGGTATGGGAACATCGATAAGACATAGGACTTGGGCTTCGGTTCGGTGCTTTGCACTACCGGGCGCGGGGATTCCGCATCTGACTTCCATTTCTCCTGCCATTTCTTGTCTAGCGCAGGCAGATCAAGTCTTCGAGAGATTGCAGCGGTCGTTGAGAGGCGGGTGAAGGCGTTGGAGGGAAGAAGTGGTCGCAGGATAGGACGCGCGCACAGCCGTGCTTGCGCGACGATGGGCGTCAATCGGATACGTGAAAAGTTCTGCATGATGATTCCTGTACCATCATGCAATCACCAAAATATTGCGACCAGCAGGTGCGGCGATAGCTTTGTCGAGAGTGATATGTTGACTGATCTTCACCTTTAAAACTTCCCCGGAGCCCGGGCAGCTTTAACCCCGATTAGGACTAGCGGCAGTCGCGACCTTTGGCGTAGGACCAGAAAGCGTTCGCGATGAGCTATAAACAGTATCATTAATTCGCCACAATGGATTCGGAAACGTCAAAGTCTCGAAGTTCGCTTGTAAATTCATCTTACAATTTTGAATTCGCCAATCGTCGCGACAAATCGGTCTATAAATTACGACCTTCCTCGTCTATCAAGCCAGCTCAAGCCGGGCGATGGATTGACGAAGCGAGGTTTCCACATCTCACAGAGTCATTCATCGAGCATACGGGTTGCAACTTGACAGAGCCTAACGATGAGGCCGTTGACATGGATTATTGCAACGGTGAAACCGACGAGAAAGAGAATCCAATTGACGAGGAAGTCGTCAAGGATGATATTCCCTCGCCAGCCAGGTCCACCGATTTCTGGGTATTGCCAGCGCCGAAATCACCATCAACGGGCGTTTTGGCTGCATTCTCCCCGGTGCCGTCATCTAAAAGCACCAAAGATGCGAAAGCTTCTATTCTGAAACGAAGGAAAGCTGATCTTGAGCAAGAGGGTTCAACAGACATCGATCAGTTGCCTTCGTCTCATAAGGAGAAACAAGAAAACTCCAAGAGACAGAGACGATCGTGAGAATTGTCTCGACAAAATTGAAAACAATGTACAGATACTTGAGATGTACTCTAAGCCTACAGTCCCGTTGATAATCGAACACATTGACTTGATCTAAAAAATGTCTATCAATCATTCATACACATGCAGAACAATTCGTTCTACAATCTAAGTATCCCTCCATCCCGATCAATCCCACCCCGGAAATGATCCTTCACAACTCTCCCTCCAACAATCGTCTCCTCCACAATTCCCTGCACGTGCTTAGGTTCCACCCTTCCATACCAGATTCCCTTACCCGCCAGCGGATGAGGCTCAGCCTGGCCCCCCACCGTCATCTCTGGCGGGATATAGACAATTATATTACCGGCATATTTATGTCCGCCAATATGACTGATCAACCCGATATTAGCATGATCAGGCCCATCAACAGTGCCTTCACGACCAGCTGAGGTAAATCCTCGCGACTGTAAGACGCGCTGGAACTCTGCTTCAAGCGCAGGGGCCATGATACCGCAGCGCATGTCACGGCCTCCGTGTCCACAGATTAGGACTGTTGGCGAGTGTTTGATGTCGAGGACTTCGAACTTTGATGCAAGGTTTGGAACGCGGGTCATTTCTGTGCGCTTTGTTTCTGGAAGGGAAGAGTGCACATGGTGGAGGCGTTCTGGGAGAAGGAAACCTCGTACGAATGTGGTGAGATCGATGGTCTCTGGTGATGAGAGAGTTTCTACCGGTATCGAAGGAATGTATTTGAATCCGGGGAAGAGAAATGCGGAAGCGGTGGAGGGGTTGTTGACAGTTGGGGCGAGGGAGGTATTTGTAACGAGGATATTATTGAAGGGCTGCAAATCGAGAACAAAGATTAGTGACAGCTCTGTGGTAAGTTTCGACGTAAAAAGCTACCACATACATCGAGATATGGACCCCCTCGGCCTAACAGGCCTTTCAGGCCTCGTACGAGGCTGCCCCAGCTCGTGTTATCTCCGTCATTCTCGATACGACTCGTCCAGTCTCTTTGGCCTGTACAAATCACCAGCTGCTGCGCATAGGCAACCATCGTCCCGTTCAATGGTTGTTCATGATCAATCGGTAATCCCTCCGGCATGGGCGGTGTCGGGCAATCGCAGGAGGATTCGGGGCATGCTTGAGTCACGGGAAATGGAGGAGGTATCTCTAGACGCGCGCGGTGTCGGCTGGATTGGATTGGGCTTGTGGACAGTAGTCGAATGAATCGTGGGCTCTGGTGTATCTGGCCGCTCCAATCGCGGGCAAGCGACTGCGCGACAGATGTGGGGCGCACTCTCATTGGATAAAGATTGAGGTTTTCGGATGGGAATGGATCTTAAAAATAATTACAATAGAAGGAGAGAAAGGAGAATACGCATAGGTAAAAGTAAAAGAATCGTTCAATGAGTATCTCCGAGGTGCTCGGAGCGGAGATAGCATATTATCAATCGCCGCCTTTGATTTGCCAACCAATTCCGCTAATAGTTGCCAAATAATACAGGCTCCTCACTTCGGCCTGTCAACAACTTCTCGACTCCCAGGGTCCCTATAGTCGTTATAACCCTCCTTGTCTAGTATTTCGTGGCCTGATTATGCCGGTTGTGCCATCTTTATACCCACAAACTTGCAGTATAGCCCGATTCAAGACCCAACTACGGTCGGTTCTTGAGACCGCATGTAGCCGTTTGGCGATCGTCGCATGCAGGTTTGCTGGCGGACCAAGCCTAAGCTTTGATCCCCTCGAACTGTCAAATGACAATTGTTGCTCATTTTGCCTTCTGTCGTTCGTGGCGATTGGCAGGTATTTGGGAACTTTCTCGAGTGTAGGCTCGGCGGATCTAAAATATGTAAAGCAAACGAGTAAACATCTGTTTTCAGAGTGATAATGCTCGCGAGAGAGCTGCAGACTCGCGGGTCTTTAGCGATCTATGAACATCCCATAAGTGAGCGATTTGATCATGGCCTGTCTCGTCGCAATGCAATTTTTGCTCGCTTTTGAGCGACTTGCATTTGGGGAGCGATGCTTGCATGGTGTTCGCAGCGATCCGGTGCCTTTCCAAAGGAGATTCCGTGGCATTTTGTCTTGTTGAGGGGCCCCGCATGGACACTCCAGGCTCAGGGGACAATTGGAGAATCCGCGCCTGGAACTGGGAATTGAGACGACCGTTAACCCACTGGCTTTCTCTGTCACTGTCGCAGATGTCGTTGGTATGCTTTCGTGTTATTCGATCATGTTCTCGACTCGCGTCTGCTATTCTAGTCAGTTGCCTGCTAACTAGATCCAGCTTCTCGGTTGAAATAAATCGTATTGTCCATGACGTCCTCTCAGCCTTGAGCAATTGAGGAGGTCAAGTTGAGAGCAACCGCGTAAAAGGCGACGGCGCCGCGGACTTCTCCTTCTGACCCGATCACGACCTCCTCTTAATCCGGTTATCCATCCCAACGATTCCGATGGTGGATCCGTGAGGGCAGATCTCCAAAAACCTCCTCACCGGAAAGATAGCCATGGCGGGTCCCCGTAGTTGGAGAAGGAGGGTAGGGCCGAAGTTCGGCAGAAAGCCGGACATCACTCGGAGGTCCCCATCTTGACATACCGGGCGCTGTGGTATCTTTAGTACTCCAGGTGAATGTGATATCTTCTCCAATTGGGATCCTTAGCTCCACAGGCGCAGTCCGTTGATGCTTTTTTTTTTTTTTGGCTTTCCTTGTTTCGGGGAGATAATTACCCCTCATTATATCAGCAGCCCCGCTGCGGGGAGCTATCCCAATGTGGCAAGCGCCATCAAACCGAGTCTCGGGGGTTGTTGTGCTGACGGGCTTTGTGGGCTGATGAGGACGCTTTCAGGGATTGTATGTACGAGCTTTTCTGAGATATGGACAACCATTCTCTGGCTATGTAAATGTATGTAGAGACAACGTCACTCAGGACAAATGACAAATGAAGTTGACGTGTGCCATCTCAAGAATGAGGTTCCCCGCACTCCGTCCGCGAGAGGCCTGAATAGAGTAGACGGAGCCGCGAGATGACAAGGCGATAGTCTTCGAGCATCTGGTTAGCGTCTATACTATGTGCTGCACTGTGCATTGACGACGCGGATCACCCCCGGCTGGAAATCGGACTTGAGAGCCGTGAACACGAACCACAGTGTCTCCTTCCCCTCCTATGTCCCTCGTGCGGAGAACACCACGGCCTCGTGACTGGTGCGTTCCCCCATCTTCCTTCCGAGCCGGGCAACCCACTGGCCCGCCCATGCCGTGTCTGCAAGTTTTGGCTTTCTGAGGGGAGTTGTACAGCGTGTTTTGGCTCCAATCCATGTTTGCATCTGCTAATAGAGGGGCCATCGGGGAGGGGGTCGGTCTTCTGTCTATATATAGTGGGCGTGTATCCGGTTTAACCTCTTTTTCTTTCTTTCTTTCTCTATCATCATTCCAATCAACTTCCATCCTCCCTCAATATAAATATAAAACAAGGTGAGCATCAAGCAAATGGCTTCTTACGTCAGGCCAGAAATGGCGCGCATTTCCCCCACTTTCCCCCGCTTCCGCTTGAGCTCTCTCCAACGCCGTTTCGGGCAATAGACTTCATCGAACGGTTATCCGGATTTGAGAACTTAAGAAACCGGCTATTGGAATTTGAAACTTTATAAAGGAGCTTGATCGCTGATATTTCTCATAGCTCTTCACACACTTCTCTCTGATTATCTCTTGATCATCATTCAAAATGGTATTTATCTCTTCCCTTTCCCGTCAATTACGACGACCGGCGACCCAACTCTTTACTTCCGGCCTTAAGCCTACTGTTGCCACCGGGTCCTTCGCGCCGGCCTTTGCCAATGCTCGTACGCTAACCGCATCTGCCAAACTTCAGGGCAAGGTTCTTTTGGTTCTCTACGACGGTGGTGAGCACTCCAAGCAGCAGCCTAAGCTGCTCGGTACCACCGAGAATGAGCTTGGTATCCGCAAGTGGCTCGAGGACCAGGGTCACACCCTGGTCACCACCTCTGACAAGGAGGGTGATGGTTCTACCTTCGACAAGGAGCTCGTCGACGCCGAGGTCATCATCACCACTCCCTTCCACCCCGGTTACCTCACTGCTGAGCGCCTTGCCAAGGCTAAGAAGCTCAAGCTTGCTGTCACTGCCGGTATCGGTTCTGACCACGTTGACCTGAACGCTGCCAACAAGACCAACGGCGGTGTCACCGTCGCTGAGGTCACTGGCTCTAACGTCGTCTCCGTCGCTGAGCACGTTATCATGACCATCCTCACCCTGGTCCGCAACTTCGTTCCCGCCCACGACCAGATCCGCAACGGCGAATGGAACGTCGCCGCTGTCGCCAAGAACGAGTACGACCTCGAGGGCAAGGTTGTTGGTACCGTTGCCGTCGGCCGTATCGGTGAGCGTGTCCTCCGCCGCCTGAAGCCCTTCGACTGCAAGGAGCTCCTCTACTATGACTACCAGCCCTTGTCCGCCGAGGTTGAGAAGGAGATCGGCTGCCGCCGTGTCGAGAACCTCGAGGAGATGCTCGCTCAGTGTGATGTTGTCACCATTAACTGCCCTCTCCACGAGCAGACTCGCGGTCTGTTCAACAAGGAGCTCATCTCCAAGATGAAGCCCGGTGCTTGGCTCGTCAACACCGCTCGTGGCGCTATTGTTGTCAAGGAGGACGTCGCTGAGGCCCTCAAGTCTGGCCACCTCCGCGGCTACGGTGGTGATGTCTGGTTCCCCCAGCCCGCCCCCAAGGACCACCCTCTCCGCTACGCCGAGCACCCCTGGGGCGGCGGTAACGCCATGGTTCCCCATATGTCTGGTACCTCCATCGATGCCCAGGTTCGCTACGCCGAGGGCACCAAGAACATCCTGGACAGCTACTTCTCCGGCCGTGAGGACTACCGCCCTCAGGACCTGATCGTCCACAAGGGTGACTACGCCACCAAGGCCTACGGTCAGCGCAAGTAAATATTGTCGGAGGTTTAAAAGCTCTGTAATTGGGCTCTTGTGATTCTCCTTTTGGTTCTTTTTCCTGATTGTTCATATTGCCCTTCTCACTTGCCCGGAAGGCATGGGTTTGGCCGAAAATGTCGCATCTACGATACCAATGAAATAAATATTCTTCGATGATTCCTTGTTTTGTTAGTTATATGTAGGCGCAAAGACCATCGGAGTGGGGCCGCTGTCGATCTCCGGAGGTTAGTAGATCATAAGATGAGTCTGGATAGGTCTTGTGGATCCCGGCTTTCAAGCATGGTTTGGCTAATGTAAGAAGCATGGTAGCTCTGTTGCTGTTCCTTAACCACGAGCTATTGCAAGCGACCGTAGTTAATATGGGCTTAACCAAATCGAAGTGTCATGTGCTAGTCTAGCAGCTATGCCCACGAAACAGACTGATATCACGACTTCCAAGGTTGCAGACACGCTCAAGACCATTTGAAATTTTAAGGGCCAAGAATATAAATTTAGATGCCAGTTATGAATCACTGAATCACACCAACGCCGCCCATGAACGAAAACCACAACACGATACCACACGGGACATCAGTGACGATTCCCTGCACCTTCTCGCCCTTCAGGCTCATCGTCATCGCTATCATCCATGAAGCCTTCTTCCAGGTCTCGACTAAGACGGCTTACAGGCTCAGGCGCCGTACTCCTACGGCGATCAAGTGCCTCCCTTCGCGCAGCGTCTATGTTCATGCCGATCATTAGCTCGCCTTCGTCATCGTCAATGCTAATGTTGTCATGGTCTGCCAAATGTGCGCCTCGTCGCCACGATGATGGAAGAAAAAAGCGCATCACTGCATCGGCTATGCGATCACGGAGCGAGAGCGTGTGAGCCGATATCGTATGGAGAGGGAGGTATTGAGAGTAGCGTTGTTGATATCGTCGGAAGAATGGAATTATCAATAACGAGAATAGTAGATAGACAGATAGCGCAATTGAGGCTGGAACCAGAATTGTCTGGAGGGAGTTGGAGTCAGTTTATTGGTCTTTATCGAGGTTCGTCTCAGGGATGACGACGCCGTCACACAGGGGGTGAAAAGGGGCCTGCGCAAACCTTTGCAATTCTACCGGAGGACCCCATCATGTATACTGATCCCCAAAGCGAATGTACAGCCGCGACAGTATGGTAAACGATGTCCGGTACTCCCGACGAAAGTGGATTAGGGATCTGTTTACTGCCGGAGTATCGGCACAACGGAGCAGATGTCGGGTTCGAATATAGGTACTCGATGAGAAACAAGTCATTAAGCAACACGTTCAAGATCCCAAAAGTGTAACTTGCGCATCATTCTCCATCTGTCGAAACCATCACAATCGTCAGGAACAAAGAAAGAAGACCTCACTCCCCCACGCGACTGCCTGGCCCCAGAGTCACCTGATCTCACGTGCAGCGGTCGGGGAGTTTCTCCGGCGCCCCCTAATCTGGCACTTGGTGACGCCCGTGCTTTCAGTTGATCGACCCTGGCGTCAGGACTCGTACTTGCATGCTGCAACTATTTTCGGATTACCCTTTCACTCCTTTCTTTGTGTGGTGTCCGGTCTCTCTTGTGCGTTCCCTAAAAGCGGTTCCGCCTTAGCAACCAAAGCGGGTATACTAACTAGGGAGGGACAAAACAGATCTTCGGACTATTGTGAATGTCATCTTTTTCGACCACGAGATCCATAGCGATCACCCCCACCTTGACCTGCGATTCCCGTTAATTCCTCTCGGTCGTTTTTGTGTGTCTGCGAGGGAGCGCCCTTTATGCTGCTCCCTGCCGCGTCTCAGTGATCCTCCGCCAACATGCCCGCCAATGCCGACAAAACCAGGCAATCTTCGGCTGGAAAATCATTCTTTGGGAGGAAACTGTACAAGGAGAGGCCGAATGATGAGCGCTACGATGCATACCCTGGCTCTCACGATAGCCTGGCCCCGCCAGGAAGCGCCGCCGGTTCTCGCTCGTCCCGCTATTCGAAGCGGTCCTCGATCCAATCCGTTGACATGACCCATGATCTCGACCCGGGAAGTCTTGCTCCGACCGCAGGTGTTATTACGTCCATTCCTTTCGAAAGTCTGCCCTCAGACACGAGAACCCCGATCCCCATTGATAGTATGCGCCCCGACTCCCGTCAGGAGCCCTCGCCCAACCACATTGGAAAAACCGGCGGTGATTATCATCAATATCCTACCTGGACATCGACATCTGCGCCGAACGGTTCTGGCCCACACCCCTCAGGGCCGCGCCCGCCCCCGCATGGCTCGAACACGACCATGACAAGCAGCGCATCAGGAGACCGCGGGGCGAGATACCAACAATGGGGACGCCCGGGAAGCTCAAACGCAAATCCTGGCATGAGCCATAACTCCATTGACTCCTCTTCGAACTCTCGCACCTCGCTCGACCAAAGTAGTCTTTATTCATCTCACTCCTCCAATACTCGCTCGAGCTATTTCTCTTCCTCAGATGGCTCATCCCGTACCCTCACCACCTCCCACTCCGGTGATCGCAATACCTCCCTCGCTCCCAGCGGAAGCTCTGGGCGCTTGTCAAATGCTCAAGCTGCCTGGCAAGCTTCCCAAAATAATATACCAGCAGCTGTACCCCGCCCTCCTGATAACTACCTGACTCGACCCAGAGATGACCGTATCGTCGACCAATTATTTCTGGAGCTTATGCAGAAGCGTGGATGGCAGAATCTTCCCGAACAAGCCAAACGGCAAATGCTGTCTTATCCTGCCTCTAAGAAGTGGACCCTGGTACATCAGGATCGACTGACGGAGCTGCAAGGTGAACAGAAGAGACGAGCCAATGCTCGGCAAACGCATGGCCATGATGGACTTTCGGGTCTGCTCGAGCGCGCCGATGAGGAAGGAAGCCCGGAGTGGTATGTGAAGAAGGTTATGGATGACACGATTACTTCCAAGCAACTGGCCAGTTTGAGCGTCAGCTTGCGGACACAACCAATCAGGTAGGTTTCACATCTGCCTCTGTTTTAGTTCTTATTTTAACGTGAAGACAGCTGGGTGAAAGCTTTCGTTGAAGCCCAGGGTCAAATTGCCCTGACCAATGTTCTCAACAAAATCAATCGACGAAAGGCCTCCGGCCCCGTTCCTGCGCCTCCGACTGGCGACAAGGACCTGGATCGTGAATATGACATTGCCAAATGTTTGAAAGGTCTAATGAACAACAAATACGGTGCAGACGACGCCCTCGAGCACCAAGGAGTTCTCGTTGCCCTTGTCAACTCGCTGTCATCGCCCCGTCTTAACACTCGGAAACTTGTCAGCGAAGTACTTACCTTCCTATGTCACTGGGCCGAAGGCCAAGGCCACCAAAAAGTGTTGCAGTCTATGGACAAAGTCAAGAACGACCACAGTGAAACCGGCCGCTTCGATGCCTGGATGCGTATCGTCGAAGTCACCATTGATGGCCGTGGCAAGATGGGAAGTTTGGTCGGCGCCAGCGAAGAGTACCGCAGTGGAGGCATTGGCATGGAAAACCTTCTTATGGAGTATGCTGTTTCGACAATGATCCTCATCAACATGTTGGTAGATGGGGCAGAGACCGACCTGCAGCTGCGATGCCACATTCGTGCACAATTCATCTCATGTGGTGTCAAACGTCTTCTGACGAAGATGGAGGGCTTCCAGTATGAGGTGATCGACAAGCAGATTGAGCGCTTCCGTGAAAACGAGGCTATCGATTATGAGGATCTTCTCCAACGGGAGAACAGCAGTATGAAGGACAGCGTTGAGGGCGAAGTTAAGGATATGAGCGACCCTCTCCAGATTGCAGATGCCATTGCAACTAGAATCAATGGAACTAGGGCCCATGACTACTTCCTCTCGGCTATGCAGCACATGCTGTTGATTCGTGAGAATGGCGGCGAAGAGAATTTACGGATGTTCCAGCTTGTGGATGCCATGATGAGCTATGTTGCTATGGACCGGAGGCTTCCCGATCTAGATCTTCGACAGGGCTTGGGTTTCACTGTGCAAAGTCTTTTGGATCGGCTTCATACAGATGCCGAGGCAAGACGCGTGTATGATGAGGCTTTGGAGGCTCGCCAAATCGCAGAGGCTGCCATCGCCGAGCGCGATGAGATGAAATCTCAGGTTGAGCTTGGTGCTGATGGTCTTGTCAGGAAACTCCAGAAGCAGATTGAGGAGCAAGCCGGTATAATCGAACTTCAAACTCGGACCAATGAGTCTTTCAAGGCCGAAGTTGCAGAGGTTCAAAGACTTCGCGCCCAGGAGTTGCAGCGCAATGAATTGGAGACCCGTGAGCTTTATCTGATGCTCCGGGATGCCCAAGATATTGCTGCATCCAATGCTCGCAAGAATGCCGCCCCCGACTCGGATCCGTCCCACCTGCCAGGTATTATGGACCGCGAACGTCTCATGGAGCGTCTGGAGCGTCAACTCGAGAGAACCAAGACCCAGTTCAAGCTTGAGGGCAAGGTCTGGGGCCAGCACGGCCCGTCCGATCGTCTGCGTGAGTTGCGCGAGAAGATGGAGGGCGAAGGTGATGAGGATTCTAGCGAGGAGTTCGCCGAGGAAACCCGTCGTAACATTGGCACCAATAACCTAGGATCCGTCTATAGGAAGCGCAGTCATGTGCCTGAGATGGATCAGGGCCCCAATGACCAAGCAATGGAGACTATGGATGAGGACGAGGAGGTATTTTATGAAAAGCCTCGTATGGTGGACTTGCGGCCTCGCATGAACCCTGCTCAGGCCTCCGGACTGCTAGGCGAACTGGCTTTGAAGGTTCCCAAGTATGATGAAGGTCCCGAGGGCTCTGGTACTGCACCAGAGGTGGCTGAAGCTGCCGCTGCCGCCGGAGATCAAACGGCCGGTGAGGCCGTGGCTAAGGAAGCGGCAGCCAAGATTGCTATGCCGCCGCCTCCACCTCCACCTCCCGGCGGTGCTAAAATCATACCACCACCTCCCCCTCCCCCGGGTGGCGGTGTTGTGCCCCCTCCTCCGCCGCCTCCGGGTGGTGCCAAAATTCCTCCGCCGCCTCCTCCGCCAGGTGGTGCCAAAATCCCAGCGCCGCCGCCGCCGCCTGGCGGCGCCAAGGTCCCCGGTCTCCCACCCCCTCCCCCTCCGCCTGGAGGCAAAGCCGGAGTCCCTCCTCCCCCGCCTCCTCCAGGTGGAAGTGTCGGTGCTCCACCACCGCCTCCTGCGCCTGGTGGCAAGGGTGGATTTGCGCCTCCTCCTCCCCCTCCGCCCAGCGCTCCATTGGGCGCTGGCTGGAGGCCCAATTACATGGTTGACGATGCTATTTCCTCTACAACTCACATGCCGTCTATTAGACCCAAAAAGAAGCTCAAGGCTTTGCATTGGGACAAAGTCGACACCCCCAAGTGACTGTGTGGGCCGCTCACGCACCAACCCAGGAGGACAAAGAACAGAAATACACCGATCTGGCCAAGAAAGGTGTTTTGGACGAGGTCGAGCGTCTCTTTATGGCTAAAGAGCACAAGATCTTCGGAAATAGCACAGCCGCTAAGAAACGCAAGGATAAGAAGCAGGTCATCTCTAACGACCTGTCCAAGAACTTCCAGATCGCCCTTTCCAAATTCTCTCAGTTCCCGCCCGAGGATGTTGTGCGAATGGTCATTCACTGTGACCGCGATATTTTGGATAACATGGTCGTTATGGACTTCTTGCAAAGAGATGAGATGTGCACAATTCCTGAAAACGTTGGCAAGTTGATGGCTCCGTACAGTCGAGACTGGACAGTTCCCGGTGCTGCCAGCTCTGAGCGTGAGCAAGATCCCAGTGAGCTCACCCGCGAGGATCAAATCTATTTATCCACCGCCTTTGAGCTGAATCACTACTGGAAGGCGAGAATGAGAGCTCTTGCGCTCACTCGTTCCTTCGAGCATGAGTATGAGTACATCTCTTCCAGGTTGCAAGAAGTTGTCAAAGTCAGCGAGTCTTTGCGGGACTCCGTCGCTTTGATGAACGTCCTTGGGTTGATTCTGGATATTGGTAACTTCATGAACGACGCCAACAAGCAAGCCCAAGGCTTCAAGCTTAGCTCCCTCGCCCGCCTAGGTATGGTCAAGGATGACAAGAACGAGACTACCTTTGCCGACTTGGTTGAGCGTATCGTTCGCAACCAATATCCCGAGTGGGAAGGATTCTCCGAGGAAATTGGCGGTGTCATTGGCCTGCAGAAGATCAACGTCGATCAATTGCGCAGCGATTCCATCAAGTATATCAGCAACATCAAGAATGTCCAGGCCAGCTTGGATGCTGGTAACTTGAGTGACCCGAAGAAATTTCATCCTCAAGATCGTGTCAGCCAGGTTGTTCAGCGAAGTATGAAGGATGCTCGTCGCAAGGCCGAGCAGTTGCAGCTGTACTTGGATGAAATGGTTAAGTCTTACGACGAAATTATGATGTTCTACGGCGAAGACAACACAGATGAGAACGCTCGCCGTGACTTCTTCGCGAAGTTGTCCTCCTTCTTGGTTGAATGGAAGGTAGGTTAACTCATGCCCGCTTTTGATTGAAATCGCTAACCATCTTATCAACAGAAATCGCGTGAGAAAAACGTTGGTCTGGAAGAATCCAGGAAGCGCACTGAAGCATCCTTGGCTCGCAAGCGGGTTAATGTGAACCTTGCCAATGGTGCTGCCGCCGAGACAGTAATCTCGCCCGCCTCAAGCGGTGCAATGGACTCTCTGCTCGAGAAACTTCGCGCGGCTGCTCCTCAAGCTAAGGATCAACGAGACCGCCGTCGCCGTGCTCGTCTTAAGGAACGTCACCAGGTCCGCGTTGCCTCCGGCCAGAAGCCCCCCTGACGCTGATGGCGAAGAGGGCGAAGAGGGCACTGACAAGCCAGTTGATGACGACGCCAGGACCGATGAGAATGGCCTCTTGAGCCCTCCGATGCCCGAAGAGGGAGGAGAGGCCAAGGAAGTTTCCGAAGGCGAGGATGTTGCTGACCGTGCGGCCAGTATGCTCCTGGGCCTGCGGAGTAACTCCGATGCCGCCGGAGGCGATCGTGCCAGACGCAGAAGAGAAAGCGCCGACGAAGAGCGCCGCAATCGCCGCATGAGACGCCGCAATGGTGCAAGCGGAAGCAAAGATAGCGCAGATGGCGGTCTGCCGACCGTCCAAGAACCACAATCTCCATCACGGACCGATTCCATTAACACGGAGAATGCCTTGCCAAGTCCACCGCAGGAAGAGGCACAACCTTCAGAACCGCCGTCTATCGTGGTATCAGAGCAATCTGATGCCCCTGAACCAGAGGCCGGTTCATCCCCCAATCAACCGATTGAAGTTTCGGATTGAGCCCGGGTCCCCATAATCTAATGCCTAGATTCACTGATGCCGTCTCGGAATCTCTCCTTATTTTTTGTCTGCATCATACACCTACCTCCCTCGACTGTATAATACCCCTTTTTTTCTCCCTTCCCGCTCTTTGACACCGTTTTCTTTGATCTGTCTGTGATGAGCATGGTGTGATGATACCATCGTCTTCTATTTTCTTGCCTTTCCTGTGCAATTTTTTGGTTTGTCTGTCGAGGGCACTTTCGCATACTCACCTGGCTATTCCACTAGGTGCGGTCTCTCTCATTGTACATAATTCTCCTTTGCTCCTTCATGCGCTTTTGGTCATGATTTATGTCCATGGTCAAAAGCTTTGTCAATTGCATCTTCTGGATGTTGTCCTTATACTTTGGTTTCCCTATCCGGTTTCATGTATGGATACATATTCTGCATATATATATATATATATATATTTGATGTTAGAGGAGATCTTTTAATTAGACATCATAGTGAAAACTGGCGGGAACATTTCAATCTACTATCTTCGACTTGTAACTACTTATACAATCTGAACTCAGTCACGTGTGCCTTATCGATATCATTATCGCCTATCGCGACAACTTGTTCAACATTTCCAACTCGTTTCAAACAAGATAATAATTGCGCATGCGAGCCTTAAGATCTCGAGTCTTGCGTTGGGCCCCGCCGCGCCCATCACGGCACTCAACAAGAGTGGCTGATCAGGATAAGTCGCCCTTCCCACGCCATGTCCTGATCTCCGAAACGCCGGTCCTGCGGAGGACTCCCGGACACATTAGAAGCTTCTCCTCGACACCCCCCTCGCTTTTCATGCTAGATGCAGATTCTACAATTTATGCTTTATCAACAGCACCAGGTAGAGCAGCCATTGCCGTCGTACGGGTATCTGGTCCGGCATGTGTTTCGGTACGTTCTCACGAAGATTCATCTGTCACGCGAAACCAGACTAACAACATAACCATACTAGATCTACAAAGCACTATGTCCGAAATATCCCCTCCCAAAGCCTCGATTTGCCGCCCTGCGCACCCTCTACGACCCAGCAAAACCGGCCTCCCCAAATAGCGTCCTAGACGCCGGCGCTCTCGTCCTCTACTTCCCTGGCCCGAAAACAGTCACAGGCGAAGATGTCCTAGAACTCCATATCCACGGCGGCCCGGCAATCGTCAAAGCCGTACTTGCAGGCATTGCAAGCATAAACCACCCAGACACGGTAGTCCGATACGCCGAACCGGGCGAATTCACGCGCCGCGCTTTTATGAATGATCGGCTCGGTCTCCCGCAGATCGAAGCTCTAGGAGATACACTATCCGCTGATACCGAGCAGCAGCGTCGATTGGCGGTGCGTGGTGCAAGTGATGCTTTGCTGAAACGCTACGAGCTCTGGAGGCAGCAGCTACTGTATGCGCGCGGCGAGCTGGAGGCGTTGATTGATTTCTCGGAGGATCAGCATTTTGACGAGTCAACCGAGGAGCTAGTCTCTTCCGTTGCGGGCCAGGTGCGCGATCTGCAGGTGCAGATTGGATTTCATATTCAGAATGCTTCCAGGGGTGAATTGTTGAGGAATGGTATCAAGGTTGCGCTTTTGGGGGCGCCTAATGCCGGGAAGAGTTCTCTACTTAATCGCATTGTTGGGAAGGAGGCTGCTATTGTAAGTACCGAGGAAGGTACGACGAGGGATATTGTTGATGTTGGGATTGATTTGGGTGGGTGGTTTTGTAAGCTTGGTGATATGGCTGGAATCCGTGCGGAAGCTGGAATGAAGCCTGGGTCGATTGTGGGAGCTGTCGAGAAGGAGGGCATTCGAAGGGCGAGAGCTAGGGCTTTGGAGTCGGATGTCGTCGTTGTGGTTGTTTCGTTAGAAGAGACGACACAGGGTGTTCGGCTTTTCGTGGAACCTGAGGTTCTAGATGCGGTCAATGAATGTGTCAAGGCAGACAAATGTCTGGTGATTGCTATCAACAAATGCGACAAGCTTTCCTCGGAGAGACACGAACTTCCGGCTCTGACGGATTCTATCCGCGATGTCTTCCCTGCTGTCCCAAGAGAACGAGTCTTCGCCATCTCCTGCAATGGAGCGCAACGCGGATCCTTGTCCTCTGAGACCGACCCAGGCCATCTACAAGCATTCCTACGCGGGCTAATCTCAACATTCGAGCATATCGCATCGCCACTAGGTATGGACGGAGAAGGCCAATATGATACCTCGTATTGGGAAGATTCATTGGGTGTGACACATCGGCAAAGCTCGAATTTACAAAAATGCCTCGATCACCTCGACGACTTCCTTTCCCAGTCTACCCCCTCCGAGAGCGAGTTCGCCTCCATCGACGGTGAGATTGACATCGTCACGGCCGCTGAGCACCTGCGCTTTGCAGCAGATATGCTGGCCAAGATCACCGGCAAGGGTGAGAGTGGAGATGTCGAAGATGTGTTGGGTGTTGTCTTCGAGAAGTGAGTTGTCCTTTGTCTTTGCTGCGATTCCGTGGATGGCGAGTTGACTTTTATCGTACAGATTCTGCGTCGGAAAGTGAACCACCAGTGGCTTCATCCATGTTGAAATTATCCACGTACTGTGAATTGGATGAATCGACTTTGATCGGGCCTATGCTGGGTCATCCCCAAGCACTTTCATGGAGTAGAGGGTGTTGCAGTCCATCACTTTTCCGTCACGGCCTGAATGCACGAGACAGCGAGCCTGGAGGGATTCAGTTGGATGGCTTGGTGGTCTCTTCCGGCTTGCTGGCAGGGGAATTATAACCTCCACGACCCATTGTGAGAGACTTGTCGAGATAGCGAGAGCGAGATTCTTCAAATGCTGAAGAGATAGAGCAAGAGGTGGATACCAGATACCAACAATGTATTATATTCTGAGAGTGAGGCTTGAAGAATTGTAGATCATGACCACGGACCAAACCTAAGGTATTTATATCAGCCTGTCGAAACAAGTGTCTGCCTTGATGTAAGAGTCCCCGTGGCCGTGAATCATCCAGGCACCCAGAAACTTCCATAATCTTCCCCATTCGGGCGAACTTCGAGAGGCATTTCCGACCAAAGAATTGGGCGCCCGCATGTCTGACTCAGGGCCGACTCATATCTCGGGATCGTTAGCTTCAGTACCTTTCAGCAAGCTGAGGATAGCCAAATTGGGACTCCGCCTGAACCCGGCACGCCTCGCTAGCTAGGTAGGTGATAGCGTGATGGCATGATAGTATAGAAATGCTACCGTGCCTTTGATGACACTAGAAATTCTGGTCACATGGGGCCATCTTCAGCTGATGAAGCGCGCTTCTTGCGGGTTTGAAGTTGAAACATGCTTCCAACGGATTTCGGCTGAGGTGTGGCGCATTCACTTATTCATCCTATTGTCGCTAGCTGACCAAGCGACTGGGACGACTAATATACCGGAAGAGTAGCTTATTGGTTGTCGGAGATTGTGTGAGTCTTAAGGCTGGAACTCTGTGTCAGATTTCTAAGAATAGCAGTGAGTGGCCGGGTGCTCTGTCCTACGGTGGTGGGTGTATTAGTTATCAACGTGGCCTGGACATGAGGCTTTCACGAACCACCGGGGCTATTAATGGAATAGAAATAAGAAACCCACGTTGCGCCCCTGTAGTATCGTCAGGGGGGTTGTTTCGTCTCAAGGGCCAGTTCGCGTGGCTGATTGTATTTGTTTGCCTATTTAGTGCAATGAACAGTCCAACAATTCAACGCGCTGACCTGAGTTGATTACTGATAAGTGCATTCATGGCCTACAACATACTCAAGGTAGTCTAGCTCGGACGCCATGATGAAGTGGGGGCCGCGTGGGATCTATGAATAGACCCTTGCTCGACCATATGGCTTTCGAGCCCTGCGACTCTTTGGAGCTGCAGCATGTATCTTTTACATGAAGATTTGCTTATCTTTATTCCTCGGTACTTCTATTGGAGAGGAGCTACTTAAACCCGGCACATTCGGCTAAATAAGCGAGACCCCTCATTTTAGACCCCAACGGCATGAAAAATCAATCCAGACTGAAATCAAGATCTTGATACAAGGTATAGTTGGCTATTTTTGTTGAAGTTGTACAGCGCAGAGCCTGAGCCCGGTTAGGAATATGCGCATAATGGAGGCGTTTTAGGAGCCATCGAAAGCGGATGGATTTCACTCACCACCTAGGTACGTACAGCCCGATCGAGAAGATAATCTAAGAGGTCCTAAAGGTATTGTGATTTTGGTCCACCCCAAGCTATTTCTAGAAGCTTGGCCGAAGGGCTTCTAAACATCAATTTGCTGCATTCCAGTATTTCATTTCAAACACCTCTTCTGATACACCCGGAAGACAAGGTATAACATAACAGCTCGTTCAGGTGTATCCAGGTTATCTCCTGGGTCAAGATGTCAGAGTCTATGACCACGATGTTTCAGATACTGAAGAGACTGAAAAGTGATGTTGATGTGGATAGAAAAACGGGCCTAAGTAGGTCGATAGAAGAGTAAAGTAGAATGAATTGTTGATTTCTAGGGTCCTTCCGCAGCGAATGGCCTCGCCGCGAGTTGAATAAGTCAACTAACGAGATGATGAAACAGCCACTGCCATTCTTTATCCGTGCTGTTGTTCAACGCCGCAACTCCGTTGGATCTGTGCGTGATCATTTCCCATTATTATGCCTTCCCTTCCCATCCAGTTCTCATCTTCACTCTGGCCTATCCCATCACTCTGCACTGCTATCAAACTCCGTCAAGAGCCAAGTCCGGGTTTCCAGGCACTTGCTCAGCATGCCGCACGTTTTCGGCCGCTACGTGCTGCTTGACGATGATGGCAACTACAACTGCGGGATCTGCGATAGACGGTTCTACTCCAAATTAGCCATCTATGCCCACTGTCGCAACACCGGTAAACATGACTGGTGCGAGAGTTGCGAACGCGTCTTTGTGACTGAGGACTCCAAGCTGGCCCACCTCCGATTCTCATTCAGCCATAACTTCTGCAACGTTTGTGACCATGACTTCACCAGTTACCAGAACCTGAAGCAGCACCAGTCTCTTGCCCATTGTATGTGTGACAGATGCGATGTTCCTTGCTACACACCGAGGTGGCTCCGGGACCATACCGTCTCCTCACATTTTGGCTGCGAGATATGCTTCCAATCTTTCGAAGGTGACAACGGCCTTTTTCATGTAAGATATTCGATCTTTTTCCTCTGGAGCGAGCTACCGACTAACACTTATCGTATCACTGCAGCATATGAAGGTTCACGAGGAGAAGAACATTGAATGTCCAGCCTGTGACAAAGACTTTTGCCGCTTCTCGTACCTCCTGTTGCATATTGAACGGAGTCGCTGCTTTCCAATCAATCGAATCGAGGGCCTGATAAACGGGTACGAAGAGGGCCACTTCGACTGTCAACCCGATGACTTGTCTGAGTGTTCGTTCTACTGTCAGAACTGTGATAGCAAGTTTCGCCGTTTGTCTGGTCTCTTTCAACATGTTGAAGATACCAAAGATTGCTCATATCTACTACGACCCACAGGCAATGGTGATGATCTCGAGTCTCTGAGACAGTACATTCTCGAAACCCTTGCGTATGAGGTCGAAGGTTATTGATTCTCAATGGAAACTTACCGCGCGTGGAAAACCCATATGCCATGTAGTACCTGGAGGATAGGGGGGTGGGGGTATTGACAAGTCCAAAAGTGCAGATCGACGCTCTGGAGAAATCGAAATATCATTGAGCGAGAAGTGATGTACAATAACCAATCCTGGTCCCAAATTGACAGGTACTCAGCTTTTCTATGTTTGTATATGTGTATGTTTGGAGTGCCTAGAAGCTCCATGTTCCATGGCCGCCTTCCCACTAAACCTCCACGTACCGCCCAACGCACACCGCACACCGCACACCGCACACCTCATGCCTCACACCTCCGGCAGTACTCCCAACTTCACTCTATCGCCAACCAGGTACTCTTAGCCACAGGCCATCGGCTATCATGGTTACAGTATTTGGTCGCTACGTTGTGGTTTGCGATCATGAAACCTATATCTGCCAACCATGTCTCAGATCGTTCCACTCTAAGTCGGCCATCCTGGCCCATTGTCGCTCGACCAGCGCCCATGAATGGTGCGAAAGGTGCAAACGTGTCTTTTTGACCGAGCATGCGAAGCAGAATCATATCAAGCTATCTAGTTCGCATTCAATCTGTATTCTTTGCGATCACCGCCCAGACTTTGCCAGTCGTTCGCAGCTAGATGAGCACTGTGATGATGTCCACTTCCCCTGTCGAAATGGAAAGTGCAATATTGTCTTCCGTACCAATTTTGGCCTTAGAGAGCACCTGTTATCTAAGCATTTCGCCTGCGAGGAATGCCTACGGATCTTCGATAGCCAAAACAGCCATGACCAAGTCAGATACCCCCACCGCCTAATAGAATCCCTGACTGATATGTTTTGATCATATAGCACATGAAATCTCATGCAGTCAAAAAGTTGGAGTGCCCAGTCTGCGATAGAAGCTTTGCTAGACTGTCGTTTGTTCTCTTGCATCTTGAGCGGAGCCGCTGCAGTTCGATTCAGGAAGTCAATGGGCTGGCTTCTGAGATTGTAAATCACAGCTACCACCTAAACAATTTCATCAATGACGACGGAATGTTCTGCTGTGAGAATTGTGACTCTAGCTTTGTTAACCTGTCAAGTCTCTACCAGCATGTTGGAGACACCCCGGACTGTTCAACCGCCTTGCAACGCTCTGGAAGTCTGCATTCTGTTGCGCAATACATTTTCCGCAATATTCGATGATTGATAATTTGACCGAAGACTCGAACCCAAACTGAAAGGAATCCAACTACATCTAGACACGCATATACCTGGGCCCCTCTTTGAACCTTCATGTATATTAACCCAGTTTTGATCACAAATATATAGCCCTATCGAGAATCTTTTCTCTGTTCCTCAGTTCTTTCTACACCACCCTATCAACCTTTCCATCGAAGATCAAATCACTGTCGACTTTGGTTGAACAGGCCCAGCTCCTGCTTACAAGAACATAGACCAGAGACTAAAACCAGGTAAGCTGCAAGTTCATGCGTAACATGGACCACGGCCGTTAAACCACTCACACAATAAGACTCTTCTTCTGTGACCATTGCGATTATTGCTTCGACTGCTTATCCAGATTGTACGCCCACACCGAGGACTCCATGGCCTGTTGCCCTCTTATGCAGTCATCCGATTCAATGCTCAAGGCTCAAGTCAAGAACCTTTGGCACAGAATTCTATAATAGTGCTACCTGAATGGCGACAGGTAACAAGCTATGATTATCGGTGTCTGAAACGAACACAAATTATCGGTGTCTGAAACGAACACAAGGAAAGCAAATGATAAGTTCAACCTCGAAACATCCGATTCGCGGGGATTGAAAAGTTGGAGACTAAGGTCATCTTATGATCTGAATCGGGAACAAGGATATCGGGGGCAATATTATCACGTACTTTGCTTACCTATATTCAACTATCAGTGCAAGATCAAGTAATTATGAACTATGCTCAAACAAGCGTGACCTTTTCATGGCTCTCCAAATGTGTCGGCATCCCGGGCTCCTCCCCTTCGGGCGCCGTATAAACAGAAGATATCGAGTCTGTATCAGAACTATCATCGTATCGACCCTCATCAAGGCCTTCAGAGCCAGTCCTGGACACCGTATACTGTCTTGCCAGAAGCGATCCTGGGATCTGCGATATCTCAACAAACCGTTCCGAATTCAAAGGCGATATCTTTAGAGAAGTTTGATTTCCCGTGCGATATGGCAACGATTGTGGTGGATGTATAGACGGAGATGGAGGTGGAGGTAATGAAATTGGCGAGTAATTTGCGTGAACTCGAGGCAGATTGTGACTTGGAAATCTTGTTGGGCTTCTTCTTCCTCTGTGCTGTTGAGATTGTGACCCAGGCGTTCCTTGAGTCTCCCTGGCCAAAGCGGCAATTCGATCATTGGTTAAAGGAGCTGTTGGCTCGTTGCTTTGTCTCGTTTTGAGAATACCCGTGCGTGAAATGTCGCGAGCAAGTGCGGCATGAACGTTGGTTGGTGTATTCTCTGGGCCTATTGAACGTGTACTCGAAGAGTCCAGGTCCAAGCTTCCTGGAAGCTCTTGGGGAGTGGAGCTGTCTGCTTCATAAGCAGTAGGGATGGGAATAGAATAGTGAAAGACCGGCGGTCTATACGCTGTTGTTATTGAATGGTGCGGACTTGATGCTTGAGGCATTGGCGAATGTGTGGGGAATTGTGCCGGCAAATTGACAGAAGGCTGATCCAGATGTTGACTTAGTCTTTGTGAAGGATGTTGAAAATAATTTTGAGTGGAGTTTGATGTTGAAGATGTCGTATATGAATTGGCAGGATTCAAAGTCTGCTTCAGTAGCTGCAAGACTTCAATCTTCTTATCCTCAGAAACACTAGGTGACCATCCAATCGTCTTAGGAATGCTCATGAGATCAGTCTTCCCTGTTTCGAGAATGTTACTGCGAGATAGTATAAATTCCAAGATATCTGCATGGCCATGGTGTGCAGCGTGGTGGTATGGTTGCCATCCTGTCTCGTCTTTCTTCAAAGCTGATGCACCCCGATTCAATAAAAGGGAGCACAAATTCAAATGGCCTCCCTGAGCAGCCAGGCATAGAGGAGAGTCCTCGCGAAGACTAGTCTCGAACTTCATTGAAAGCGGCGATCCCCGATCAAGTAACCTTTGAACAGTGGCCGTGTGTCCGTAGCGACTTGCTACGCAAAGAGCCCGATCACCGACGCCGTTTCGAGCATTGAGAGAGGCGCCTTTGTCACACAACAAGTCTAGAATATGGATTGATCCTTTAGATGCGACAATGTGCAAAGAACGTTGCTCATGCTGAGACTCCGCCGCCTCAATATCGGCGCCTGATAGAAGTAGGAGGTTTGCAATTTCGAAGCTGTCTGCCATGCAAGCATAGTGAAGCGCTGTAAGACCTGTGTTGCAGCGTCTGTCAAGGGACATTCCTTTGCGTTGTAATAACTCCACCACGGCGAAGTTGGACTGCATGACTGCCAAGTGTAGAGCTGTCCTGCCACTTTCATTGGCCATGTCAAGTAGTACTTTCTTCTTCTCACTCAGGATCCGGACGGTCTCTTCATGGCCATTATAAGCAGCCCAGTGGAGAGCGGTCATACCTGTATCGTCGGTTTTTCGAGAAGATGCCTTTCGCTTCAGAAGGAACTCAACTGCCTGCGAACTTCCAGCTTCGGCTGCACATATCAAGGGTGTTTTGCGATCGTCTCCAAGTGCTTCGATGTTTGCTTTGTTGTCCAGAAGAATTTTCATGACCTCCAAGTGGCCCTCTCTGCAAGCATAGTGCAGAGCCGTCATCATGGTGCCATCTTTGGCCTCCACATCGGCACCGTAACGAACCATAAGCCACACAATCTCATGATCTCCTCGCTTTGCAGCTGCATGAAGAGCAGTGAGTTGCTTCTCTGCTCGAGCATTCACCTGGGCATGATAGTTGAGCAAGACTAGTAATGCGTCTGCCTGGCCGTAGTCCGCGGCAATGCGCAACGCAGTCTCGCCCCGAGGGGTTTGAACTTCCATGAGATCGCTCTCTACCACCAGAAGCTCCACAGCACCGTAGTGTCCACGAGAGGCGGCGAGATGAAGTGCTGTCCAGCCGGATCCATCAGTCACGGCGACTTGTGCATTATTGCGCAGCAGCAGATCAACTATATCTTCTTTGCCACAATGTGCTGCAATGAGAAGAGCGTTCCTGCCCCACGTCGTATCTCGTACCTCCAGATCATTGCCCTGGATTACAAGCCGCTCAATGTCCTCTCGAGTACCAGATTGGGCTGCCTTGACAATTTCAGGTAAGAAAATTGCGTCTTTGGAGGTGAGGTCAATGCTGGTGTTGAAATCGGCTCCTAGCTGACGCCTTCTTCTGCCAGAAGCGGAGCTATTGGACAAACTAGGTGAGGCCCCATGAGACGGGCTCAAAGTTGAAGCGGTCCGAGTACTGGGGCGTCCCATGAGACCTTTGATTTTGTCCAATGTGGATCCAGATCGTCGCAATGATCGAGATGGAACTTTTGAGTCGGAGACATGTCTCTGCAAGCTGCCCAGGTTTGGCCGACGCGAAACATCTCCTATCGACACGCTCTTACTATGCACTGGATGGTGCACTGGTCCGGATGGACTTCTTGGTACAACATAATTGCCTTCCTGCTGTGGAGATATTTTCAACGAGGGAATAGTCATATTGCTGGTTGCTGGGCTACTGCTTCGCGTCTCATTGGTAAACGGGCTCCGATTACTGCTAGGGACAGTCGGAGGAGTCTCAACCGTTGCAAAAGTAGACACTCGCTGTTTTTGAGCCCATTGATACACCGGTGACTCTTCCAATGTCTGGTTGAAATCAACAGACCGGGCACTGATTGATTGGCGACGGCTCTGCGAGACGCTTGTCGCGTATGACGATCCGCGAGCCGACAATATAGTAGCAGTGTCATCCGCGACTCTATGGATTATTCGACGAGTGTTCGGTGTTCTGAGCATCCTCATTTGTTCCGTGAATGAGCGGCTATAAAATTTAGTACTCAGGCGCCATTGTTTTGGGTCCGATCATCTCACCATTGACAGACTTGTAGCAGAAGCTGCAGAGCGCTAACCTGAGCGTGGAGCTTCTCCTGGTGCCCCCTCATGGTTTCTTCGCTCCATACAATTCGCATGCGAGCGCGGAAACCGGTGAATTGTTCCTCGTGGATGCCTTGCACCAAGTGTGATATATCGTGGGAGACCACTTCCATAACGACCCGACAGCCTTCCATGGCGACTGCCAGGTCTCGGTTGTATTCGTCAGACGACGGTCCATCGGTGCCATTGGTGCGCGTCCATTCCTTCAGGCCGGTTAGAGCTGTACTAATGCAGCTCAGCTCTTGGATCAGCGATTGGATGGTGAGGTCAGCATCCTTGAATTTCCCGTATAGCTGGTTCAGATCATGCACCGTTGAAGCGATGGCCTGCACCACCTGAACACCCCCGAGACGATTCCAAAGGCAGTGACCGGATCCATGGTTCATGACGGGAGCGGGAGTATCCCAGGATTCAGTCCTGGGGGATGTTTCTGCTTATGGCGCACAGAGCGGGGGTGCACCTGCACTAGCTTCGGGGCGGAGCTGAGGCGGTGCATTCCAGCTGAACGCGATATATAAGGTTCCTGTGTAGACATGGACACAATTCTGCATTATTTAGCTTAGTGTCATATCTGTACTTCCAGTTCATGACATGTTGCAACAGGAGTCCACTTAAGCTCGGCATTTCTTTGGTGGCTGTTAATGCTCTCCACTCCACAGGGTCCTCTTTGTGGGTCATTTTCAAGCTTGATAGGATCTTGTTATGATGCAAATGAATTCAATTCTTTTGTACAGGTCCTATATAAGTCCCAAAAACTATTTTCAGCCCAGCAGGCTGCGTCTATATAAACCAAAGCTCGGGTATCACGTCAAAAACGCCGCATTCCGGGGCAAACCAAGACTCAATCTCAGACTAAAGACTCAAATTTAAGCCTCGATGGCGTTCTTGACCCACTTCTCCAGGCCACCTTTGGCGATGATCTCCTGCACGTTTGGGGGCAGCTCGCCGACCTTGTGAGTCCATTTGGCACCGCCCTCGCCCTCCTGCACCTCAATCTGGCTGCGACGCACATTCCAGGTCAGGGTCCAGCCGGTACGGCGGGTAAGCGCCTTGTCATCGCCGAAGGTCTCGCGGAGTCGGCTGATCAGGCGGGGAATCTCGAGACCCATCAGGGCGTTGTTGATAGAGTTACGCGAGAAGATGTTGCCGAAGCTACCGGCCACGACGAGAGGGATCTGCTTGGCCAGAATAGCAGTGGCGGCTTGCTCACGAGAGCTACCGCAGCCGAAGTTGTAGCCAGTGACCAGGATGTCGCCGGGCTTGGCGAGAGTTGAGAACTCGGTGTCGTAGTTGGACATACAGACCTGGGCCATGGTCTCCACGGGGACGTTATCTTGGTAGGTGTACTTGCCGGGGTAGATACCGTCGGTGTTGATGTTATCTCCGTCACAGAAAACAATCTCGCCGGAGACACGCTCGGGGAACCCAGGGTACACATCAGTCAAGGCACCCTCGGAAGGAGCCTCTTCCACCGCAGCGTCAGCAGTAGGCTCAGGGGCGAACTTCTTCTCGCCGTCAGCCACGATGTCATCGAGCTGACCGATGATCTTCTCCAGCTGCTCGTCCATGGTGAGCATGCGGTCTTCTTCCTTGATGCCGTCACCCTCCCCACGAACAACGCCGGTCCAGCCCTCAGGGGACTTGTACCAGCCGGGGCCGGAGAGCTTTCCGCTCAGGGCACTGGCAGCAACGACTTCGGGGCTGCCCAGGTAGGCCTTGGCGTCGGTGCTACCCATGCGGCCCTTGAAGTTACGGTTGGAAGCACTGATACCAACCTCGCCAGGCTCGAGCAGACCGGTACCGAGACCAATGCAGGGACCACAGCCAGCCGGGAGAGTAGTAGCTCCGGCATCGAGAAGAACCTGCCAGTCACCGGCCTCCTCGGCGGCGATCTGCTCGGGAATAGAAGCAGCAGCAATGTAGAACTGAACACCGTCTGCAATCTTAGGAATTTTGCCATCGTTCTTCTCGGCGGCTTCCTTGAACACACGGGCCGCGGCAGCAATATCTGATGCACGCGAGTTGGTGCAAGAGACGAGGTAGGCCTTGTTGACGGGGATGTTGGCAGCCTCCAACTCGCTAAGAGGAGTCGCGACCTTGACCGAGTTGGGACCGGACACATAAGGGGTAAGGGAAGATAGGTTCAAGTAGAGCTCCTTGGCGTACTTAGCACCCTTGTCCGCAATGAGAGGGTTGGCGAAGAGCTCGTCCAAGATGGGGTGAGTGAATCGCTCAGCGGCCTTGGTCTTATAGGGACCGTCAGCCAAGCCCATAGCGGCAGTAGTAGCCTTCGCCTTTAACCAGCCTTTAAGAACGCCATCAAGAGGGAACAATCCGGACAAAGCACCCCATTCAGTGGTCATGTTGGCAATGGTCAGACGGTCGTCTACAGAGAGACTCCACATGGCCTCCTCAGAACCGGTAAACTCAATAGCGTGGTTCAAAACGTCATCCTTGCCAAAGAGTCCGCAAAGAGCAACAATCACATCCTTACCAGTAACACCAGGGGGCAAAACTCCGGATAGGTTGACCCTAGCCACCGGGGGAATCTGCCACCAAGTCTTACCAGTCGCCCAGATACTGGCGCCATCGGTACGCACAATGGGGGTACCTAGACAACCGACACCGCCGTACATGTTACTGTGGCTATCCGAGGCCACGACCAATGTACCGGGCCAGGCGAATCCCTCTTCGACCATAATCTGATGACCAATTCCTCGGCCGGCCGGGTAGAACTCGACACCGTGCAGCTTAGCAAAGCTCTCAATTTGCTGGTACTTCTGCAGGTTCTTCTCGGACTTGTTCTGTACGTCGTGATCGAGGGTCATGACGATCTGGCTCGGGTCGTGCAGTTTGGAAGCGCCAATGGACATGAACTTCAGTGCTACGGGCCACGAGTTGTCGTGGGTCATACAGCGATGGGGAGAGATGGTGACATAGTCGCCGGACTTCACAAATTTGTCCTTGGCTAGGCCGACGGAGTATTGCTGTACAATCTTTTCGGTGAGGGTTTGGGGTGTGGCCTTAGAGGTCCGCAGCGACGAGAAAAGGGCGGCGGCAGCAGGGTCATCCAGCTGGGAATGGAAGGCCTGGCTCAAGATGACGCGGGAGGTAGCGAATGTTCGACGCATGGATCTGGGGACCGGGCTGCGCATAGCCCAGCGCCGGCCAGAGTTGGTGGACGGCATCAATCGGGACTGCATTGGGAATTAGGGTCGGATTCAGGGGAGGTTTTCGGGGTGCATTGAAACTTACAGTCATTATGCCCACCGACTCAAGTCCAAGTATACAGATACAAAGATCTAGGAAGTTCCAAGCAGAGAAGAAAACCCCCCCAGTCGTCCGGCAAATGAGCAGCGATATTTACGGCGATGACTCATCGCTCTCATCATTGGTCAATGATGGCAAACAGTGCAAACATATATCACGTGTTTGCGTCCGATCCGCCGATGTCGGCTTCATTTTTGGAGTATGAGGCCAATTGGTGCATTTAAAGGCCAAAATAGCCATTTAGGAGAAGTTGAGTAGTAGAATCAAATAATAAAATGGTAATCGATACCATAGTACCATTATCTAAACTTTCTCAGGCTCTTAAATTGACTCTATCAATGTAATCTAAGTGGCTCCGCTTCTATGAGATAATGGTGGTGGGAATGATCTAGTTATTGTTGCATCCCCACGGGCAGGTACTGGAATTGAATGTTATACGGAGATTATTACCGATTATTGAAACAATATGTTTGCGAAACTGAGATTCAGTATTGAACCTGAAAGAACTCGATGCCCTGTGCCATTACATAGCTTGACTAACTTATGTTTCTATGCTGAACTTCGTCCAACGCCTTCGTGATGGCTTCTCTAATACCCTGCACTTAATTGACTCATACCCCGCCATTGCCGCCAAAATCCGTTTATTGTCCACATGGACGTAAGAAAATATTCTAGTGAACGGGCTGGAATGAAATTGTAGACCGGGTAATGTCCGTACGGTAAATAATATTAGTGACTCAATTGCAGTGGTGACTCCAAGGTTGATCCACCAAGGTGCGGCGGTCCACCCGAGATCTTTTTCTGTCCCGCTGCCTTTTACCTTCCTTTCTACGCTCGAGATACCCCAACTTCCCTATCCAACACACCTCAAAATGCCCAGCCGGCAAGAAGTCTCCTACTTTGGAGCTGGTCCAGCCCCCCTCCCGACTCCGGTCGTCGAGGCTGGCGCGAAAGCCTTCGTCAACTACAATGACTGTGGTCTCGGTCTCGGCGAGATCTCCCATCGTTCGCCTACCGCAAACAAGATTCTCGAAGACGCAAAGGCCAATCTAGCCACCCTGCTTGATATCCCCGACAACTATGAGATTCTGTTTATGCAGGCTGGTGGCAGTGGCGGGTTCAGCGCTGTCGTACAGAACCTCGTCTCTGTCTGGATTGAGCGCCGCCGCCGCCGGGCTGAAGCGGATGTGCAGAAGGCCAACCCCGGTGCTGAGAAGGCTCAGGTTGATGAACTGATTTTTCAAAGACTCCAGAAGGAGGTTAATGAGGAGCTGAAGCTCGATTATCTCGTGACTGGATCTTGGTCGCTGAAGGCTTCGCAGGAAGCTACCAAGCTCGTCGGCTCAAAATACGTGAATGTTGCTCTGGATGCTCGCAAGGCTAATGAGGGCAAGTTCGGTAAGATCCCCGCGGAGGAGACTTGGTCATTGACCCCCACCAAGCGTGAGGGTGGTAAGGGCTCTGCCTTTGTCTACTTCTGCGATAACGAGACGGTGGATGGTGTTGAGTTCCAGAGCTTCCCCAAGTCCCTTGAGGCACAGGGCCAGGATGAGGAGGATGAGCGCCTTATTGTGGCTGATATGAGCTCCAACTTCATTAGCCGCAAGGTTGACGTCAGCAAATATGCTGTGATCTTCGTACGTTATATCCAGTATCACCTTGCTCAAGCACATCTAACGGACAAATTTCACAGGGCGGCGCACAAAAGAACATTGGTGTTACTGGTATCACTATTGCCATTGTTCGCAAGGACCTCCTTCCTCCTCAGACCGCGACTCCCCCGCCTGCGCTTCTGCACCGGTTGAACATCGGTGGTCTCCCTGGCCCCGTTGTGCTTGATTATGCCACTATTGCCAAGAACAACTCCCTCTACAATACCCTCCCTATCTTCAATCTCTGGATTGCCGGTCAGGTCATGGCCGACCTTGTCTCTGCTTTTGGTGTGCAGAAGGTCAGCGGACAGGAGGAGATTGCCGATAAGAAGTCCAATCTCATCTACGGAGCTCTGGACAAGTACCCCCAGGTGTACCAGGTTGTGCCTGACAAGAGTGTCCGCAGCCGCATGAACATCTGCTTCCGTGTTAGCGGCGGCAATGATGCGAAGGAGAAGGAGTTCCTGGCTGGTGCCGAGAAGCGCCTCCTCCAGGGTCTCAAGGGTCACCGCAGCGTTGGCGGTATGCGCGCCAGCAACTACAACGCAGTTCCCCTGGAGAACGTGCAGAAGCTGGTGCAGTACCTTGAGGACTTTGCCACTGGACAGTAGACTGCCCTGGTGGCAGTTGTATTATCAATGTGATGAAGATTCAATTGGGCATTTCTTGCCGAAAATTGGTGACAACATGGGACGCTCAGGTCCAGGGCAGTTGCGACTATTCAATACAACTCCCCAGATATGCTATATGCGGAGAAAAGAAATTTATGATACAAATGACCTGAAAACAATCAGAGTTTCCACACCCCCCAGTCCTTGAGATTGAGTTCCTTGATGATTCCCATTAGGGGTCCCTGTAGCTCCTGTCCTTGTGCCCAGACTTTGGGACCGGCCATATAGCTGATGAAACCTTCAGGGCCTGAAACCAATATCATTTTGCTCTTGCGCAACCCATCTGTAGGGCCTGTGGACTCGATGAGCTTGGAGATATCTTGCTTTCCAATGAACCTGTTCTCCTCGTCCAAGAAATAGTCCACCGTAATCTGCTCTGGGTATTGGGATTTGAGAGCCTCTAGCTCCTTTACAATGAGAGAAGTGGCCTGCTTCGGGGAGACTGCCGCAACAGCCCGAGTGCTGGAGGGAGTGCTCTCGGAAGAGCCAAACCACCCCGAGTACCAGGATCGACGCAAGGGAGCTTTGGCTGTATCACTCTCACCGCCAATGCAATCTTCCCTCAAGCGACTAGCCCATAGAATATGTATCCTCGGTCGGTTTTCGCGAGTCGTACGGCTCAAGAGGGAATATCCCGCCTGCAAGGCCGGAGCAATACCCGTTCCGCCAGCAATGAATAGTATCTCATTCGTTTCCTTAGGGATAGCGCACTCGATTTGCGGTCCTCGCATTTCAATATCCGCACCTATTTTCAAGGTGTGCAGATATCGCGAGACTTCTCCGAACGGGTCCTTTCGAATGAAAAATCGCAGGTAGCCTTCATTTTCTTCGTCTACACTTAACGATGTAGCTGCTGTCGTCGGCAAAGGTGTATAATCGCGACCAATTTGCAACTGGGGTTGCTTGAACATCACACTCCATACCCCGGTTCGCCAGGCGTCTTCGTACACGTCGTAGTTGCTGTCGCTTGGGTATCGCGGGCGAAGCGTGAACAGGCTGCTCGTCGCAGACACAGGCTCTCTGGCCACAAGACTGTACTTTGTGAATTTTTCCGGGTTCAAAGTTCCTGATTGAGGAGTCTGCGATCGAATGTAGGCGCCGGCGCCGGCGGCCGCAGCGCTCACGAGGACGATTCCCAGCCAGCGGTTCTTCGCAGAGTTAGGGGGGAGAAGTCGATGCATAGCGTCGAGACAAAGTCACGGGCCTTATAGCAGGGCGAACCCTGCAGCATGTAGAAGAGGGATTCATGAGGTGTATAGCATGGTCCGAGAATCAAAGGATTTAAAGACCGGAAGATCAAAGAGAAGAAAGGCGGCGGGGGAATTTGGAGGCGACGATTGGGTGATCGACGGTTGAATAAAATGACACCCCTTGGCAACTAGCCTCGGCCTCACTTTTCCTTTTCCTTTCTTCAAGACCTGGGATGGATAATGGAGTGTCTTGTCGACCTCTTTTGACCAGTCCATAGTCCAGCCCAGCTCTGAATCATTGATCGCACTTCGACCTCGACCTCAAGTTCAACCCCAACCCCAACTTCGAGCCCGATCTCGACCTCGATCGCCCCTAATGTCAAGCATGCCATTCCCCCATGAGACCAGAAATGGCAACCTCACTGCCCCGCGAGACTCATTAGAGCTCGCTTCTCTCGCTTCCTCGTCGCCCGCCTCTGTCGATGGCTCCTCGCGCTCCTCCTCCCCCGATGGCATCTCTTCTTCGCGCAAACTGTCCCTCGAAGATGAAGATCCTCTAGCCGGCGAGGACGGAGATGTCTACCTCGAAGCCGGCCGCCCAAGAGGGCACAGCACCTACTCTATATCCTCCGCGTTTGATTTTGGCCGCAATCTATTCCCACTGTCGCAAACACAAGCCGCCGGCTATGCGCCCCTAGGAACCCCGTCTGCACTTGACCGACAAGGAGATGGTTCGCTGGAGCGGAATAAAACCCTTACCTATTTGAACGGCCTGTCGCTTATTGTGGGATTGATTATTGGCTCGGGTATCTTCTCATCCCCCAGTCAGGTCAACGCCAACGCGGGGTCCCCTGGTGCCTCGCTCATTGTTTGGGCGGTGGCGGGTATTCTGGCGTGGACTGGGGCAGCTAGCTATGCTGAACTGGGAGGTGCGATTCCTTTGAATGGAGGCTCGCAGGTCTACCTATCTAAGATCTTCGGCGACTTGATGGGCTTTCTGTTTACATGGTGCGCGGTGCTGGTGTTGAAGCCTGGCTCCGCAGCTATCATTTCAATTATCTTCGGAGAATACATCGTGCGAGCATTCGTCGGCGCCGACGTGGAACATATCAGCCCGTGGATCAACAAGGGTGTTGCATTCGGAGGACTTCTAGCCGTTACTCTCTTCAACTGTATCTCGACTAAGATCGCCACCCGCATCGGTGATATCTTCATGCTCTTCAAATTCGTTGCGCTAGTCGGTATCACGGTTACTGGTATCGTTGTAGCCATTACAGGTGTTTCGTCCAGCGGAAGCGCCAACCAGGAATGGAAAACAACTGGCTGGTTTGAGGGGACCAATACCGAAGTCTCCGACTTTGCAGTCGCGTTGTACGCTGGTTTGTGGGCATTTGATGGTTGGGACAATGTACGGAATCAATTTTCGTTTTCGTTTTGTGATGAAACTATACTAACGTGTTTCTAGACCAACTATGTGACCGGCGAATTCAAGAACCCCAGTCGCGACTTGCCCCGCGTGATTCACACTGCGATGCCGCTGGTTATTCTGTGCTATCTCATGGCCAATGTCTCTTATTTCCTAGTTCTGCCTCATTCGACCATTGAATCCAGCAACACCATCGCCGTCCAGTTTGGAGCAAAAGTGTTTGGATCAGTTGGTGCCGTCATTCTGGCTCTTGTGGTTGGTGCTAGTTGTTTCGGAGCTTTGAATGCTACCACCTTTACAAGTGGCCGACTTATCTATGCAGCTGGCAAGGAAGGCTACCTTCCAGCTTTATTCGGCCACATCGGCTTCTCGGCCTCGTCTTCTCCGACTCCCCCAGCGGGCAGTCGTCTCCGCCGACGCTCGTGGGCCCGCAAGTCTCTTTCTCGCGTTTTTGGTGATGAAACCAGACTTGGGTACACCCCTATAAATGCCATGGCTTTCAACGCCACCCTGACAACCATCTATATCGTCATGGGCGAGTTCAGCACCCTGGTCACCTTCTACGGTGTCGCTGGTTACACCTTTTACTTCCTCACCGTACTCGGTCTGATCGTCCTTCGCATCCGCGAGCCACATCTAGAACGTCCTTACCGCACATGGATCACCACCCCAATCATCTTCTGCTGCGTCAGCTTGTTCCTCCTAAGCCGTGCCATCATCTCCGAGCCCCTCCAGACCCTGATTGTGGTCGCCTTTCTCATCACCGGTGTGCCAGTATACTACTGGCGTATTTACAAACGGGACGGAAAGACCGCTACCACGGGCTGGAAGTTCTGGAAATGGCGCGCTCGGTAGTAAACTCTGTCTTGCTATCACTATGTTTAATGATTTGATACCCATGCATATAAACCCGGGTGTATGGTGAGAGTTGATGCGCCTTTTTTTATGTCCCTGGCCTTCCTGGTGTTTTGCCGCGAATGGCATACGATGTGATGACGGTGACTTCGGGCGACTGCATTTGGATCTCTTCTTCCCACTTCAGGGCTGTCTTATTATCTTTTGATCTCGAATGATCCGTGCAGGTGTCTCAAATTAGATCTCAATAATTATTAATCTTGCTTACTTGTCTCTTTCCGATTTAATTAGTAACAAGCATTCATCTGAGAATGTAATAGGGCGTATCTTGACATTGTGACTATGTACTGGCCTGTGAAGGTTGATTCCCAATGTCTATCTCTTTGCCCAAAGTGTTTCTTACAGACTTCCCGGTCCGCGCTTCTATCGAGGCCCGGTAAGATCTCCACTTCCAAGCTGGCACTTTAGCCGCATACATCTCATCAATCTCCGCAAATGTGCGGCCACGAGTTTCGGGCATCAGGAAATACATGAAGACAATAATGCCAGTCATGCATCCGGCGAAGACCAGATAGGTCTTCGCACCGAGATTGGCTGCATCCGCCGATGTCAACTGCGGCACAACAAGTGTAGTGATAACAGCAGTGATCTCTGCGCAGGCGATGGTATAGGACATGGTATGATGGCGAAGCTTCGGAGTCGCCATCTCAGAGGGCATCAGGTTCGATAACGAGAAAAATGAGGAAGCCCAGAAGAAATTAAACACGAATGATAGTACGGCGATAGCGAGAGTAGCGTGTTTGTTGCTTCTGTCAAAGGCGAGACCACCAGCCACCGCATCTATAATAAGTAAAATGCTCATGCCAACGAAGGCTGTCGGACGCCGACCAGCGCGGTCGACAACGAATGGGGCTGCAATGGTACCCGCTAGAGTACAGCAGGATGAGATGATTGTCAGTGAAAAAGGATCAGCGATCCCCAATTGTGTCAGGAAGATAGTTGTGTATGTGGTCGACAAAATAATACCAGAAATTTGGTTGAGAGAAAAGAAGGAGCCCGCAACTAGGGTGCGTCTGAGATGCTCTCGCTTGAATATATGCCAGAATTTAGTTTCAAAGCGGATTTCTTGATTACTCTTTTCGCAGAATTCCATGAGTCTGAGTTCGTCTTCGACTTGCTTGTCGCTGAAGCCACGGAGTTTGCGTAGATTGATCCGGGCTTGTTCCATGTTACCCTTTGATATGAGCCATTCGGGGCTTTCTGGAAGGGGTATTGTCATCCCACAAAGGATGACAGGAACAGCTGATTGTACAGCCAGTGGAATTTGGTATGATAAGTGGCCACCGAGCTTTTTGGTGCCCCAGACTATAACGGTGCCAACTACCCCGGCCGTGAGGTTCAAGATGTTAATTGAACTGACACTTCTGCCCCTCATAGACGCCGGAACAACCTTGAACGAAAATTAGCCTCGTAGATCTATAGGCTCGGGTGGATCAGTCTTACTTCTGCGAGATAGAGAGGGGCCGTAGCAGTGGCGATACCGAAAGCAACGGCATTGATAGATCTTCCGCCGACAAAAGCTCCCAGATTAGGTGAGAATACTTGAAGAAGACCACCGCCAATGGATAAAATATAAGCAGCAACCAGAGGCCACTTACGGCCGAAGTTGAAGTTCAGTGGTGACGCCAGCAAACCACCGATCACAGCGCCCACTAAAGGGACAGATATCACTAGATTCTGGTTGCGCGCCGTAAGAGCATATTCACCCGTTGCTGGATTGGGTCCTTGAAATTTCTCGACCTGGCACAAGTCAACATCTCCATCCTCAGGGAACATGCGGAGAAACTCACGAATGGCGTCAATGCCGCAACAGAAGATATGAGTTTATCGTCATAGCCAAACATGAATGACGCCCCGCCAAATACAACGCAAACCAGGACGAGGAAGGTGTTGACAGCCCCTTTCTCCGAATGAACGACATGTTCGAGCTCGGCCGAGTCGCACTTCTTGTCGGTAGTCATGGCTCGGAAGGATGGCCAGTGTGAAAGAGGGAAAGCCTCGAATGTCGAGACTCCTTCATGGTTATTTAGGGACTCAGTCCATGCCACAGCCATTGGTGCCTATGCCATCGATGACCGATTTCCCCATGGAGAAAAGAAGCTGGAGAAGCTGCAGGTCGATTTCCCCAGATTTCCACCCTTTTTCCACTTTTCCACGCTCTCCGCGCTCTCGGATCGTCGCTTGACTAAAACGCACAGTTTCTCCGAAATTTCTCAGAGCCCGAGCAGCCCCTGGGCTCGAGGGCGCCAAGGATTGTATTCCTGTGCTTTTGTCAAAAAGTCGATCTAATAGTGTCGATGTGCAGATCCTCCCTTTCTCCACGATCGAGATTCGCCGAATATCTTCCGCTGGGATGCTGCATGGCTCCGAGCCTGCTTCCGACCTAGTTCCGGCAAAATCCAGATTCTGACAGTTCACTGCCGAGATATTCCTGTTGGGTTCGTGAATCGGCAACCTGACTTGCCTTTTCTATCAGCATGCATCAAATGGTGCAATCGATTTCCCCGAGCTGTTAACTTAGCTCCGATCACCGCGAATTATTCGGTCGCATTCCAATTTCTTCACCTTTCTAAGGGATGTGTCGGATTATTTAAGAATCTATCGATCGCTGTTCCTACTCAAGCATTTCCTCGTGTGAAACTTTTACCCTTGAACATGTCTGTTCTTATCAGCGGTGTCGATGCCGGGCATCTTCACGAGAAACACTCACATGAAGCAGCCAGTAAACTCGATGATGAGCAGACATCGAGGATGGCACGCTCCAAGCCTCATTTCCATCTAAGCGCCCCAAGCGGGTGGCAGAATGACCCCTGTGGTCTTGGCTTCGATCCTTCGACGGGTCTATACCACATGTTCTTCCAATGGAATCCTTATGGCAATGACTGGGGTAACATGTCTTGGGGCCATGCCACTTCTTCCGACCTAGTCTCATGGGAAACATCTTCAATTCCAGCTTTAACGCCATCAGCGGAATATGACCGCTGCGGTGTATTTACTGGGTGTATGCGTGCAACTGATATCCACGGGAACACAGGGTCTCTCACTGTCGCTTATACTTCAGTGAGACAACTTCCTATCCATTATACTCTGCCATACACCACAGGATGCGAGTCTCTTAGCTTAGCTACCTCCAAAAATGGCGGCAAGACATGGCAACGAGAGGTCTGCAACCCGATCCTACCAGGACCACCTCGCCATCTCATGGTAACTGGATGGAGAGACCCGTACCTGACAACTTGGGATAGAGGGACCGCTTCACAGAACCAAGATTCAAATCTATACGGATTAATCTCGGGTGGAATCATCGGCCAGACACCCACCCTCTTCGTCTACTCAGTCAACCCCAAAGACCTTCGGCAATGGAAATACACCGGTCTTTTGACAAACTTTGGCCTCAACTTTCGTCCGGGACGCTGGTCAGGCGACTTCGGTGTCAATTGGGAAGTGACTAATTTGATGACCCTGACCAATGACTCTGGCGATTGCAGAGATTTCGTCGTGATGGGAGTCGAAGGATGTCTTCGGCCGGAAGGCTCAGATCGCATTCCCGGTGAAGCGCGCCATAGGCGAGACCCTCGAGGTCAGCTGTGGATGTCCGTGAAAGCATCCAAAGAACAGAAGGGCGCCGAACATGTCTTGACAGAATATGACTTCGCTGGTGTCTTCGACCATGGATGCTTATATGCTGCCAATGGCTTCTGGGACCCTCAAACCTCCCGGCGTATTGTATATGGCTGGGTCACTGAGGAGGATCTACCCGATGGCCCTCGTCATCGTCAGGGATGGAGCGGTATGATCTCATTGCCGAGGGTGGTTAATTTAATGACATTGCGAAATGTTACGAAGGCGCGTAGCTCATCATTGGAATCCATCACTTGCATCGAAACAACCCCAGATGGCAAAACTTTCACTATCCACACTTTGGGGATCGCTCCAGACCCACGACTTGCTCGTCTTCGACGTGGGGCTATAAAGAACGATCTTACACAGTTGGCCCTTTGGCCAACTCTCACTTCGACTTCTGATGCTTGCTTGCCTCTGACGACATCTCGCTGGGAAATTGGAAGCGAAATCTTGGTTAGTCAATCGTGTGAACGTGTTGGCATTGAAATCGCTCACACCGCCGGTACGTACCCATCTGAAGTTATGGCAGTCCTCTCTATAGCACCGTTGACACGTCTCTAGATTTCAAACACTGCACCATTCTTGTATGGCACCCACGCAGTGAAACATTCACCATCCACCGACCCTCTCTCGAAAGCCCCGATATCAACCACGGACACGAGTCTGCCCTCCATACTCTATTCACGTCCGTGAATGAACAAGGGGAGGAGACTGAAGAGACTTTGAAAGTGCGCGCATTCTTCGATAGAAGTGTGCTTGAAGTCTTCGTGAATGACAGAACAGTTATTACGACTCGAATTTACCACCCGTCAGACCGCTGCTTCAGAGTACGATTCTTCGCAGAGTCGACCGAGGAGCAATCTGACCAAATACCAGCCACCCTTCTACAAGCTGATGTCTGGGACGGCCTTGACGCTAACTAATATATGCAAGAGCAATGTTTGTAATGAAGTCCAAGCACTTGACTTCATTTAGATATATTTGTACATTTGTTTCAGGTATCATTTATTCACACACGATCACACTCTCAACCCACTTATTGCTGAGACCAACTCCCCGGGATCTGTAACGAGCGGAGGTGGGTTTGGTACTTCTCCAAAAACGGGTGATTCCCTCCTCGGAAACTGCTGAGCAAGAGCATGAAATCTTCCGCAAGACTTTGCGGTGTGGATGTTGCAGATGCTGTTTCAGAGAAGTTGCCCAACGGCGTCATTCCTGTTCCGTAGGGCGGGCTGATGTTACAAAGAATGTCGGTTGCCGCGATGGCGATATCATACATCTTTTCGGTCTGGTACTTGTTAGGTATGTAAAAGTGCTTAAATGATCTAAGGTCAGCTTACATGTCCTATTCCATGAGCTTCCATGGAGCTCAGTCGCAATGACTGACAAAGCTGAAGCGTAGATTCTGCCACGGACACCGCATAACCAAAGGTTAATTCGGGCCGTTCGGAATGGGTTCTGAGGAGACCGTGGTTCAGGCACAGAAGCCAGACACGATTCTGAAGCCATTTCTGGGTGACAAAGACATCTGCTGCTTGTGTTTCTCGTAGACCCATGGCGAGCAGGGCATTGTTGTCATTTTGATCTCCTTTGGCCCGCTCAAACCAATCGTAGCCCTTATATCGCTCAGCCTGACTGATTCGATCAAGGCTAGCGTGCATGGATAAGGCCTTGGTTTCTGTGAATTTCTGGCAGAAGCCGTTGGTGATGTCGCAGCGTCGATTCCAACAATGGATAAAATCTTCGTCAATGGCATCGAACAGTTCCATTAATCGTGCCAGTCCCATCATGCCCTCGGCGTCTTTTTCGTTGTGGACGATGATGCCTGAGACAAGGCTATGTGTTGCATGGTGGAGGAAGTCATGCACGGAACGCATGCTGAAGCCCGGTTTGCCCGAAAATGTTACCGGGTGTAACCGCTGAAGAGCATAGGCTCTGCTTGTCATTAGCACAAAGTAATTCACTGCTCAAAGGTTTGTGGCTGTACCTTTCTGTGATTGATAAGACAAGATAGGTCCGCAATCGCTGGCCTTTCTCATCACCAGACAAATCCCGATATGAATTAGGATCGTTTAGTCCCAACGTGGACGCAAGGTCCAGAGCCTCCCGCAACCGAAGCCAAGCGGCATTGTGCTGATTACTCCCAAATAGACAACCAAAGAGGAAGAAGCTTGTCAAGACAGCCTCTATAGTGGGGTGCTCGCCGAAGTCGGAGCAGCTCCGCATCTTAGTGGCCTCGTGCATCATCGATCGGGCTTGTGTAGCACGAGACGAGGTTGTCGCCCGTTCATTGATTTCAATCGGCTGTGTCAGAGAAAAAGCACATAGTGATAGCACCATAGATCCGAATTGGGGATTCTTGCGATGCTCTTGACACATCATTCGAGTGAACATGGAAGAACGGCTTAGCACGGGGAGAGTCGGATGTAATCGGTCAAAGTAAACGTCGATCCAGGGTATCATGTTCGCTTCATTGATTGATGCTGGCCAGAATTCATCGCCTCCGTCCAGGCTTTCGGACTGCATAGACCCCACCGTTGGTGAGAAGGGCATTGTCTGCTGCTCCTGCGGGGGCATATTCATGGCGGGCACGTCAGGAACGGTTTGAATGATAGACGGCAAAGACGGTTTGAGATAGATGTTGCTTCCAGGGAACTCGAAGACCGGGACTTGGGCACCCAGGTGATCTGGAAGCCAATATTCCACATCGGGTCGGTCGGTCCAGCCCACCGCGCCGTTGCTGCTAGAATTCAAAGACGACGTTTCATTCCCCCAAGCATCCACTACTGTCGGCGAAGGGCCAGTCGGTGCCAGGTCAGCTGGTCCGTTCAGAGGCATTGTGACTTCGCCGTGAGGAGGCGCCCAGGATGTTCCCGCCATCGGAACAGACTGACCCGTCTCGGTCGTGGGCACATGGTATTGAAAGGCATCTTGTTTGGATACTGATGGTTCCGAGGAACTTCTGGAGACAATAGGCGTTTGTTGCTGTCGAATTTGCGATACGCGACTAGACCCCGGTCAGTGCACTTCTCTCGAGACTGGTATCGCGATCATGACTTACTGGCCAGTTGGCCCGCGCTTTTTCTGCGGCTGAAGGAATGTGCAGTCAAATCCCATCGACTGACAGGCCTTGCACGGCTGTGACAAGCTGCACTGCAGGGAGGAATTAGCGTGCGCGATGCTGCGCAACAGGGGGAGAGATTACTTTGATCTTGCGAAACTTGCACTGGTCGCAAGCTCTCTTTGCGATCGCGCCAGGCGTGGTCCTATTTCGAGTTCGAATTGGGCCGGTCGCGCTCGCGCCGGCCGACCCTGAGCTTGTGGACTCCATTGGGATCACCATCCAACGTTGGCTTGGGAGATGGGGGTTGGAATGGGTCCTTGGAGGTCCTGGATCGACCCACTTTCGACGGTTGAGAGAGCCCCGCCGAGTCTCCGCGAACGGGATAGCTTCTGGTTCACCTTGCTACACTTGACCCTCGGGATACCAGGGCAAAACATACAGTCGGCTATCTTGTGACATGATTCTTGGGGTCATGGCTCCAAGCGTGCATACTGTTTGTGTTCCACTACTCCAAAACGGAGCTTTGATCACCGCCGTACCCCACTTTTGGAAGCCTTTTGATAACGGGGGACGGGTCGCCTTCCGAACCGGAGCTTGTCGTATTTAAGCCGAATGCCCGCGTTGGAGTAGACGAAAAGCATTGTAGCCATGGGTAGCACACAACAGTCGTGGGAGCAAATCGTGGCTCAGAAACGAGCAGCTAGAGATAAGCTGCTCGCTCTGTACTTGGTTGACGATGTAGACCAACGACAGCCTCGAGTGTATCAGGTTCACGAACGAAGTCGATTGAAGGATCCAGAAGTGCAGAGAATCACCGAGATTGATAGTATCGAGGAACTGTCTCGACATCTCCTAAAGGGGGAGTTTACGGCCGAGCAGGTCACCAGGGCGTATATCAAACGGTAAGAGTGAAGCCACCGGTCGATAGAAGCACTACTAAGTATGACCTAGGGCAGTGGTGGCACATCAATTGGTTAGCGAACCTCCTCAGCTTGTATGGAATCCAACCTAACGAATCTAGACTAATTGCTTGAGTGAGGTGGTCTTTGAAGATGCCCTCGAACAGGCAAGGAAGCTGGATGCCCATTATGAAGCAACGAAGAAGCCAAAAGGTCCTCTTCATGGCATTCCTGTCACTGTCAAAGATCAGTTCAATGTCAAGGGCATTGATACCACATTAGGATATGTGGGAAGGTCTTTTGATCCAGCCCAGGAAGATGCGGTCCTCATTCAAATCTTGAAGGACTTGGGTGCGATCATCATCGCGAAAACAAATTTGCCTCAGAGTATCATGGTCTGTTGCCTTCAACTTATCTCAAATTAAAGTGATCAATGAACCGTTAACTTGATGGATAGTGGGCAGAGACTGACAATCCTCTCTGGGGACTGACGACGAACGCCAGAAACCCTGATTTCTCCCCCGGTGGTTCCACTGGAGGCGAGAGCGCTTTGCTAGCACTGCATGCCTCTCTGCTTGGGTTCGGCACAGATATTGGTGGGAGTATCCGTATTCCTCAAAGTACAATGGGTCTGTATGGCCTAAAGCCAAGTGTAAGTACCAGTATATTCCCTCGTGCTTGGAACCGGTGTACTCACTCACCATACAGAGCGGTCGGTATCCTTACCAGGGCGTCCCCGTGTCTACTGAAGGCCAAGAACATGTTCCTTCTTCAGTAGGGCCGATGACTCGAGACCTGGATTCCCTCCGTTATATCACTCAGCTCGTTACAGATTCCCGTCCTTGGGACTTGGATCCCCGATGTGCTCCTCTTCCCTGGAACGAGACTGTATTCCAAGACATTCAAACCCGCCCAATGGTCATCGGGCTCATTATAGACGACGGCGTGGTTCAAGTCCATCCACCCATCGTTCGCGCACTTGGAGAGCTATCGGACGCATTGAAGGTGCAAGGACATGAAATTGTGATCTGGGATACGTCCGACCATGCTGCATGCATCGAGATCATGGACCTCTACTATACTGTCGACGGAGGCGAAGATATTCGTCGTGATGTCGCTGCTGCAGGTGAACCATACATTCCCCATGTCGAGGCTTTGGTCAATCGTGGCAAGCCCATCTCGGTGTACGAATACTGGCAGCTGAACAAGCGCAAGATGGCCGCGCAGAAGAAATATCTCGATAAATGGAATACCTTTCGATCTCCTTCTGGCAAGCCTGTCGATGTTTTGTTAAGCCCGACGTTGCCGCACACGGCTATTCCCCATTGCAAGTTCCGATGGGTGGGCTACACGAAGATCTGGAATTTCTTGGATTATCCAGCTCTGACTTTCCCAGTGGATGAAGTACGAGCTGATCAGGATTCCTTGCCTGCCGAGCCGTATGTACCAAGGAACCCTCTAGATGAGTGGAATTGGAACCTTTATGATGCCGGAAAGGTGGATGGATACCCAGTGAGCCTGCAGATTATTGGAAGGAAACTCCAAGAAGAGAAAGTTCTCGGAGCTGCTACTGTCGTCGAGAAGATCTGGAAGAGCCGCGTCAAGAGTACTTAGATCGATAGATGTCTAATATACGGCCGGTAAATGTTTGGTTATATTGTGAATTTAACGTATCTCATAATCGGTGGACCAGGCGCCCAAAACTCTTCCACTAGGAACACTCGGTTTAGAAACCCCCAACGCCGTGGAAATATGCTGCAGGAAATCATGTTGCAAAATTAAGCCTTCATAGGCAGAAAAAGCTCAGGCTTCATGTTGATCTTGCAGAGCTTCGACACACAGCCGCTGAGCTGGAGTAGTGACTGCACACCTTCCAGGATGCGCATGTGGGTGAAGCCAATCTCGCGAATGAACTCCAATTTGGCGTGTTCTGAAAGTGTCGGAATAGTTTTGGTGACTCGAAACATAGTGCTGATGATGTCGTGAGAAGAATACCCCAAAGTCCATAGCTCGTTCAGCGTCTCAAGCGCAGCATCCACCTTGCCTTCCCAACAAGCCTTAACCATCGCCTGGACCTTGACAGGATGAGGGCTGTCAACGACACGGAAAACATTGTCCCCACTGACAAAACCAAATCCAGACCAGGTACTCTGCAGGTTGTTGAGAGCCTGGCGCATGTCACCTTCGGCACTGAAGACCAAGGCGGCGATTCCATCTTCTGAGTGTTCGACCTTCTCGGCCTCGCAGACTTGCATGAGACGCTTCACTACTTGGGCATCGGTCAATCGGGCATATCGAAGAATGGCGCAACGTGATTGAAGAGGCTCAATGATCTTGTTCGATTGGTTGCAGGCAAAGGCGAATCGAGTGGTCGTCGAGTAGATTTCCATTGTGCGGCGCAGTGCTTGCTGGGCACCGGGGGTCATGCTGCATCAGGTCAGCGAAGATGAACAAGCTCAAAATCTTATCTTTAACAAACCTGTCGGCTTCATCGAGGATAACAAGCTTGTGTCGGCCCGGGGGTAAGGTGACTTTCTTCTGCGCAAAGCCCTTGATCCGGTTACGAACCACATCGATGCCTGGATTTCGATATTAGCGTTCATATACACGCCAGAGGCATGATCAAGTAGACTAGACTAACCTCTCTCGTCACTGGCATTTAGCTCCAGAACAGCCTCCTTATACGCATCACCCAGCAACTGCCGCGCCAGACAGAGAACAGAAGTAGTCTTTCCAATACCTGGCATACCTGAAATGATAACGTGAGGCATGTTTCCATCTTTGGCAATAATCTTTAAGCGCTCGATTGTCTCGGTATTGCCGACAACGTCATCAAGGAAGACGGGGCGGTATTTCTCAACCCTATAGTGGACGCAAAAAGTCAGTGGAAGGAGCACTTCTATCGTCGAAAACACCTTACCAAGGCAGCTCGTAGTCGGCAGGACCTGTAGTTGATGCTTTGGCGCCATTGCGCTCAGCGCTTGCGGAAGATTCACCCTGGGCCATGTTGGAAATGTGTCTTGGAGAAAGATGCGGTGATGAAGAGACGCGAAAGATGAACGCGTCCCGCGATAAAACGGCTTATCGCTTGGCCTGTGCACTGAGCTTCTTTGTGCTCTTGGAACATCTATCAAAGTGTTGGAATCAAATAGCCAGAGCCAAGAACAGATAAATCGAACAGATTCAAACGTTTACTCATTCAATTGCTCACTCTGAGGTCAAAGTTCTCGTTTTCTTCGTTGCTGCTTGGACCATAGTCTTTTACCGCCGACATTTCTTCTCGGCCTCAAACTTCAACCTCAAAAATACTCCTTAATCCACAACTATTCTTACAGCCAAATTGGTGGCATCCATTCACTTCTCCTGCGCGACTCTGAATCAAAATCACTGACGAGACCGTTCGTTCCCTACACACAACACCCCTCGACCTAAATCCCGCAACCCCCACGCGACAGAAATCATCCTGCACAGCACCGCATCTCTGTTCCTTACATTACAACGCAAGAACCCAGACATTCTCCACCATGGGTACAGCCTCTGTCCGCCGCAATCTCTTTCACCAGAATCTCAGCCGCCGTCCTGCCTCCGCGGGCCCACCTAATGGCAACGTTCCTCAGCCGAACAACGCGCTCTCCAACCGTCCCTCACAGAGGCTAAAGCCGATAAGCTCGGACTCATCCTCGTCGCGAAGCACCAAATTAACGGACAATAAGGAGATCGTTGTGCGGGACAAGAATGGTGGTTACAAACTAGATGTCCCGTCCTTGCCGCATGCGCTGGTTGGCGAAGACGGGGAGGAACTGGGAGAGCTTGATGCTGAAGATGCAGGAGAGACCGGGTTTGACTCTGCAGAGCTCAGTAGGCCTGAGAAAGAGAGTATGCGATCTCTTTATCTGGTTTACCTCTTTGAAATACAGCTAACAATGTCTTAAGAGTTCGACGCGGCTCTGGTGGAGATGATGATCCGTCATCGAAATAGAGCGACGAGTGGTGAACCTGACGGTATGCCACTTCTCAAAGGTTCTTACTTATCTATGAGCTCATGCTGACTTATAACAGAGATATTAGATGTTGTGCACCAGAGTCTACGCAAAAAGGCCGCCTCCTTGGATGATGACAATTGGATGTTTGAAGCAGAAAGGGACGTGCGATTCTGAATAGATTTGATATGCGCTTCATATTTTCATTTCATTACATGGCCCGTTCTCATTTTGGTATGTCCACTGCCAAGCATGTCGTCCTTGGGCAGAGAATATGGGCCGGTTGGCTCTAGTCAAGCTCCATGCTTGATGGCGGCGCTGCCTCAACCTTCTTAGCCTTGGCTGGTGCCCTTCTTCCACCAGCGCTGTCCTGACCACCGCCACCGAACAACATGCTGCCCATCATGTCCAAAAGAGGGTTACCCTGCTTGGGAATCTTGATGGCGAAGTACTGTTCACCAATCTGGGCCAGAGCATCGTCCCAGATGCCTACCTCCCTAATCTGTGTCGCATAGTGCGCAGTGAGCTGGCGGAAGAGGTCGGCACTACCCCGTTGGATGGTCAAGAGCAACATGTTGAGGAAGTTGAGCAATGGAAGAGCAGGGAAGACCCGAATGTCGGAGTTGGAGCTGCTCACGTCTTGCACGCCCAGAGATGGGTTGGCGGCCGACAGCCGAGAGGTAAAGATGAGCAGGGCCTTGTTGGCGCTGCGGAGGTTGCCGGTCAAGAGGTATGGAATGACTGCGCGCGATGCATAGATAGCCGCAGTGTGAGGGTCGTCGTGAGTGTACCACTCGTACTCGAGTTTCGCGAGGGTCTCCGCCGACTCGGAGGTTCCCAGGATAAGGTGCTTCTCGGCATCGTATGGCTCGTTATCTGCGTATCATCAGTCAGAGAATGCAAATGAACAGGACCAATATCTGATAACAAACCTTCCGCGTAAACTGAACCAGCAGCGTGATGCAGATCTGCATCTCCTCGCTCCAGCGGTCCATATCTTGAACTCCATCCAATTATCTCCTGAATGAATCTCTTCCTGGTAGGCTCGTCGGATGGGAATTCGCGCAAAAGCTCGATCAAACGCTCTGCAAGTCGGGCATGTTAACTAGCGTCCAAACATGACTCGCCACGAACAAGCACCAGAGATCAAAACTCACTCTTCCTAGCACGGCCCTCTGTATCGTCATTACCACCAGAGATCTCCCACTCTGCCTTGTTGTAGACCTCAGTTATCAACATAATCGCCAAATCACCACCACTGGCCGAGGCGCCCTGCTGAGCACCGGCCTTCAGTAGAGCCGTGGCACCGCCAGCCAGAAGTTCCGCCGCCGCATCGTAGTTGGATGCCTTGATGTAACGCACGGCAATGGTACGAAGCTGCTGGTGAGCTTCATAGTAGGCGCCATCCGCGATCCTTGGAAGAAAGTTGCTCGTCAGCATGGGATTTCGTCAGGAACGCTGCAGAGTGCGGTGGCTCACTTTTCGCGCTGCCGGGCGATTGTTTTTTCGATGCGAGAAGTCATAGTCAAGCCGTATCACCTAAATGAGTGACAGGAATGTGTAGAATGTCGATTCCGGCCCAAGCACGAATGGTGGAAGCGGGAGGGCGATTCGCGGGGAGTGCAGGTGGACAGTTGGTGGGGACGCGGAAGCTCAACTACGCTGGGGCCATTTTTCCCTCTAGCTATCGACTCCGCGATTCATATCTTTGCACAATTCTGTTTCTGCTCAGAGATTTCGGTTCGTTTGAAATATTGGAGCTTACGCGCAGCTATCCTCTGCACCAGGCCCCCTTGCGACGTGTCAAAGGCGGCCGAGTTCCCTTTGCGACTCCGACTGGCCATCTCTTTGTATCAAAGGCTGACGGTCACTTTGCGCGCTTGTCATCGCAACGGAGCAACCGGCCGATATCCCCCAGATATGAGTCGAGCAATCTTTGACATCCACCCTCTGGACCGCTTCGGCGGTTTGGGGACTACGATCCGACGACCACGAGTAAGTGGTCTAATGCATGACGGCAGGACACAGTCGTTAATAAAGTGCTAGGAAATCGCATGCTTCTCCTATGATCAAAATCGCCAATTCCATTTGGGGGATTCATCAATCTCGTACTATTACCCCCCAGATCTGCCTGCGGATTTGAATATCGGCTTCAATACGTTCCAGAAGCTGAATGACTCTCCCGATGAGCATCTCGATGCGCTGCTAGACACTGTTACTGCCCTCGAGAAGGAGACAGCAAAAAAGTGTGAAGCTGACATTATCACTTGGCGAGGCATGATGACCAAGGTGAGTAGTCCATGTCGCAACATGCAGGCCCATGGACCCTGTTTTTAACTTGAGTGGACAGATTCTGACTGCTCCATTTGATATGATGAATGGGTACGCGTGTCGACTCATTATATGCATGGCTTGTTACTTACGCTGATTGACGACGATCCAGGTTCGAAATGAATGCAACATGCTACCAGGTACGTGCCCTGCTAGGATTCTCCTATTCAGATCAATCTCACTGACTTAAAAGGGCACGATGTACAAACACCTTCATCATATTTGACTTTTTGTGGTGCTGATACGTCACAGATTTATCGAAGAGAACAACGAATACAAGAATCGACAAAAAGAGGTCCAACGTAACCAGAGAATGCCACCCGGCATGGCATCACAGGAGCAAATGATGTATTGGGGTACGCTCAATCACCTATTCCATTGATCAACAGCCGCTAACTCTCAACGATAGGTTATAAATTTGAGGTCCTGTCCGTTCTACGACAGCCATGGGACACAACAACACGCGCAGAGATTGAAAGCCGCCAGAATGATATCGTCAACAATAGCGCCCAATATTGTTCCGTAGTCAAGACTGGAATTGGCAATACGCGCATGGTCCTCGGTGGAGAAGTAGACGCCGGTATGTTCATTCCTTTAAAGAAATACAAACGTAAAACTGATTCGTCTCGTCCAGTGTGGGATTGCAAACCAGACCGAAAGGAAGACACGATCCATTGGATCGAGTTGAAGACATCGGCTGAGATCCGCAATGACCGTGATATGCTGAAATATGAGAGGAAGTTGCTCAAGTTCTGGGCACAGTCCTTCTTGCTCGGCGTGCCGAAGATTATCGTTGGCTTCCGTGATCAACAGGGTATTGTCCATCGCCTCGAAGAGCTTGACACTGCTAGTATTCCTGGCAAAGTCAAAAAGGTCGGCAGGGGCTCGTGGGACGGAAATATCTGCATCAATTTTGCTGCAGCATTCTTTGAATGTAAGGATGTCTTTCTCGTTCGTCTTGAGCTAAGTTAACATTATACAGGGCTGAAGCAGACCATCCAAGAAGATGGGACGTGGAGGATACGGAAACAGGAAAAGTCACCAGTCATTGAGGTGTTCAAAGTTGAAGACTCGGGTCATGGTGATATCCTTTCCTCTGCCTTTACAACCTGGCGATCGTCAATGGCCTAAGGTTGGTCATATTTGTATTACTACAGTTTCACGAAACATGTCTATGAATTTTCTTTTCGTACGAGCTAGATGCCTCGGGGATCCGCCCCAGAACTCGGGGCCTGTTGAGCCTCTAATTCCTTTTTCCGGAAATAAGCGTCTCGTTCAGCCTTCCTTGCTGCGGACTTGGCTGCTCTTTTGTGACTGTAACCATTGAGGTGAATATTCCACTGTTCCTTGCCGTTCGTCGTCTTGTTGCATATATCGCAAGTGAAACACTGCATGTCGGACACCGGTTGTGCACGCGCTTGGTCCTCTTTTGCGCTGAGGACAGTTTTGGCCAGCTTCGAGAGAGATTTGGGATCAGGCGTCGGTTTTTCTTTAAGCAGTGATTGCACAATATTCTCAGATGGTTTGGTAATGCATTCATCCCAGTCCTTGACATTGCTGCTGTCCATTATGTAGAGACGACGCGTCATATCGGCATCTGAGAGTGCCTGCCATAATTTGTTTCGAATCCATTTGATTTGGGACGACCCATATTGACGTGTCGCAGTTCTGATGGATTCAACACAGCTCAATTTAAGTTCCTCGAGCTGCTCTGCACTCAACTCTGCTTCCTGAACAGCCGCAAAATACGGCGCCAGCTCTTTGAACCCGATGGACACCCAAACACCACGTGTTTGGTCGACTTCTATGCCCTGTGATTCTTTCTTTTGGAGATAATCGAACATTGTCTGAGCCTCAGCCATCAAGCCCTGCTCGATCATGCCGTCGACACGCGAATCCAGTCGCGCATTGAGAATCTCCTTCTCCGCGTGAACCCAGAATATCAGTGTGTTATCGAACCGTAATAGGCCTTCATCCTTCATGACTGACTCGTTCTTGAGAATTTTCTGTTCCGCGTATATTTCTGATGCCCGTCTCCCTGTTTGGAAGTAGATCTCCAATGATCGCCTGATCTTCCGTGCATCCTTTGGGTGCCATCGCTCGGCCATGATTGGATCAACCTCGCGAAGTTTTTCCATCAACACTTCTGGAGACGAATCGAGAATTGGCCATTTATCCGAAGTCGAAGATAGCTCTTTTGTGGGCTCCGGTCCCTCGTCCTCATCCGAGCCTTCCCCAACCAGCTGGTCCTTGAACAGAACTGCCTGTGTGTAATAATGTGTTCCTCCAACCAGAATGGGCAGTTTTCCACGCGATCGAATATTGTCGATGAGTCGAAGAGCTTCCCTCTTGAAGTGGCCGATGCGCCAGGCTTCCGCCTCTAGGTCGACACAGCTCAGCAGGTGGTGGGGGATGTCGTTTCGCTCCTCGATAGGGATTTGGTTTGTAATGATAGGCAGGCCGCGGTACATTTGCATCGCATCGCCATTGATGATTTCACCGTTGAATCGGGAGGCCAAGTCCACAGCGAGCTGTCTGTAGTCATTAGCCTTCGCATTCGAGCATGCGCGGGGTATCGAATCACCTTGGACTTGCCCGTCCCTGTTGCGCCGACGACAGCGATGAGGGGATCCATGATTGCTCGAGAAGGGCGAATCGATCGGAGAGTCGAGAGCATCACGCACCCGGCGTTTGGTAGAAAGAAAGATCGTCCTTTTTTCTAATCGTTTATCGCTATCACGCATTACCTCATCCGCGCGGGAGCGCACGCTAACGGATGGCACCACTTTAGTTTGAGGTTACCTTGGTGACTCAATTTCCCCTCTCAAATCCGTACATCATCTATCTTTCTTTGTATTCCTATCACTTGTTGAGAAGTCTCGAGATGGCGCCATCTACCGATTCCCAGGGACCGTCGATTTCGGTACAAAATCTTAGCTATAAATTCCAAGATGGTTCCGCGGGGCTGGAGAATGTGCAGCTGGACCTCCCACCGGGCAGCCGTACACTGCTAATTGGCGGTAATTCTCAGATTTTCTCATTATTTCGAACTGATTGCTAATCGTCATTTAGCTAATGGAGCTGGCAAGACCACATTGCTCCGTCTGCTCTCGGGCAAACGTCTTGCCCCCACTGACACTATCTCGGTGGGTGGCAAGGATCCCTTCAAGGATGCATTGGAAGGTGTTACTTATCTGGGTGTGGAATGGGTGTTGAACAGCATTGTCCGCACTGACATCGACGTGCCTACACTGCTGGCATCTGTGGGTGGAAACGCCTACCCCGAGCGGCGGGATGAGTTGGTCGATATCCTCGACATCGATCTCCGCTGGCGCATGCATGCCGTCTCCGATGGTGAGCGCCGCCGTGTACAGCTTGCCATGGGCTTGCTGCGTCCCTGGCAGGTGCTCCTTCTCGATGAGATTACGGTGGACCTAGACCTGCTCTCCCGAAGCAACTTCCTCTCCTTTTTGAAGCGGGAGACGGAGACCCGGCCCTGCACCATCGTCTATGCGACTCACATTCTGGACAACCTCGCCCAGTGGCCCACTCACCTTGCCCATATGCATCTGGGCAAGGTCAAGACATGGGGCACTGTGGAGAGCTACTACGGTCAGGTGCCACAGTGGACATCAGAGAACAGTCGACTGGGCGAGTTGGTCCTCAAGTGGCTCAAGGAGGACCTGGCTGTCCGTGGACGTCGTAACGGGGACGAAAAGTCTAGTCAGGCCAAGACATACCAGTCCCTGGAAGGTATTGGTGGCTACGGACAGGAGAAGCACGATTGATGGGTGCGTTCCTGCTCATGATGGACGAATATGATCCTGTTTCAAAGTTTGACGCATTGAAGCGAGGATTTGTTTTAACACAGTGCCATTCAACAAATATTGGGTTCAACCACCTGGCATGGACGGGGTGTTTTGGGGGTATTCAGATCTACTCGATGGATCTATTCAACATTGGAGTTTTTCAACCATGACTCATAGAGGGTTCACGAGATTATGCATATGTTTCAACAATGGGAGGTTTCATGTACGGGCATAAAATAAAGGCCATTAGGAAAAAATAACATGAATGCAATATCATTGATAGAGGACCTTTAGACCGCTGAGACGTTAAATGGGGTGAAAGGAACGCCTTGGGCAACATGACTTCAGCCCGAACCCGAGGGATTAGAAATGCCGAGAGAAGACCATGATCCCAATTGTAATCGATGAAACCCAGCGTAAACAAACTCGTCCTCGGTCAAGACCACGGTCAATAATTACATCAGACTCTTCATTTCACGGCTTCTGCAGACTGACCTTGTTGGTTGCTAAACAGACTACGTCTGTTCAATCGCATGTCTATTCGAGGCATCGAGCTATTTACCCGCCACTGTCCTAGTTGAACACTGATCTGACTCCACTTCTCCACTTCTCGCCTCCACATCCCCAAATGTAATCCCCGGGTTTCAGCCATCGGAGAAGCTCCCGAGGTTCTTTAGCCTTTCGCGGGAATAAGCATCAATGCTTATTCCCAGGAAGTTCTGATGCACAATTCCTGTCAGGGGCTGCTTTGAAAGTAGACGGAGGATTATTCATGTATTAGAAGAGACAGGCTTAGAATTGACTCCATATCGCTAAAATAGACAGTTCATTTGATCTGCTTCAAGCAGATGCCTCCAGGGCGGCAACGAGCTTATTCCATGACTCTATCCCACGCTTCGCATTCTCATCGGGTCGTCTTGATGCATTTTCTCTCATCCTCCAGTCGAAAATCTCCATAGAAACCACGCCTTTCCAGTCCTTCTTCTTCAACCAGGCCTCGGCAATTGCCAACACAGGTAGGTATGCCCCAAGCTTTTCCTCGAGAGGAAATAGACGCATGTTTCGAGACCAGATCAAAGATGAGGGAATTACCGCCTGGTAGAAACGGTGGTCCGTCGTCAACGGAGGCAAGAATCTCTCTGCGTCAGAGAATTGCACGTAGAAGACCTTATCAAGAGGGCAAGTCGCGACAAAACGATCAAGTGAGGCTTTCAATTCGCTTTCTCCGTCTTCGCGTACGCCTGATTTGGTGGTACAATCGCCCCATACTCGAGCAGCGATGTGGAAAGAATCCAAACAGACGCCGAAATTTGACCGATCCACATCTTCAACCATGCGGAGTGAGCCTTCCCAGGTATCAATGTAGCTTCCCCATGCCACAGCTTCGTAGGCAATCTTGATAGAATGAGTAGCCGCAAGTTCACTGAGTTGGCGCAGCTCCTGTACCATCAGGTCCCAGTCTGGTGAACTGTTGGTAATGTCGAACTGAGAGGGTACTTGAAGATACTTTGCTCCCAACCATGAGGTAATCTCGATCCAGTGTCGAGCAGAACTGAGTCTTTCAGTGAGGGGTGAGATATGGCCTTCGAAGTTCTTGAATGGGCTCAGAGCGAGGACGCCCAACTTGGCAGATGAACACATTTTGCCGATGGAGCGGGCGGCTTCATGCGTATTCAAAAGAGGGGTTTGGGAGGATCCGAAATCCACTATCTCTTGATAGAGGATCTCAATGAAAGAAAAGCCATTCGATGCAGCCGCTTGAATCTTCTCAGGGAGAGTGTGGGAGGGGTGAAGCCCCAGAGACGGAGTGGTGATTGCCAGTTGATTCGTGAACATGATGGATGATGTGCCGCAAAAGAGAAAGCAAAGGATAATAGGGAGAGGAAATGAGAAAAGTCATGTCATATTTATATGCTCGTGCTGCCTCAGCGTTCATCCAAACCCCGGACATTGGGCTTACAACGGATATACAAGGAGGTTGAAGAGACAGTCGGTGCTGTATACCTTCACGGTGCACTGACGCACCTTTCTTTTCCGAGACTTTTGGTCTGGTAAAACGAGCTAAGTTGTTATTACCCACTCGGTCAATTGAGCACTTCGAGTATGGCAATCGAATTTCAGATAGCTCATGCAATCACAAACACCTCTCTACTCTCGAGGGCCACACTAGGACCAAGGAGATATTGTAAATGGGCATTAATCCCGAGTATTTGATTCCTAAGTTTTTTCATATGCATCATTTGAAGCTTCTGTCAAGACACGTTTCCCTCTTTCACGCTATGTTCGAAATGGTATAAATGCGCGTGGAGGTGTCTTCACTTGCAACAGCCAGTTCAAAGCGCTCGAAACTGTCCGCTTCGGCGATTGGTACTGGTCGCCATGACAGCTGGGTAATTGTCCTCGATGGTGCAATAAGCTGATCGATACTGACAACATGTTGAGCTTCCAGACTCTGAATATCGACTCGGTGGATGGAGATAGCACCGCCATCTTCGCCTGCTGCGAGAACATATGAGTTCCTGTATGGAGAAGACAAGAAAGCAATTGCTGAGACTGCGGATGTCAGAGCAATGGTTGTTTGACAGAGGAAACTATCTTCGTCTTTGGCCTTTTGCCAAATTTTGACGGACTTGTCGCGACCTGCCGAGGCAAAGACAGGCTCTGTGGCTGTGGCTGGTGCCCAAGCCGCACCCAGAATCATTCGGGAGTGACCCTTAGGGTTTGATGCGTATTTGTTGAATGTAGTCGGGTCCTGATCACTTCGCATAAAGACAGCCCATTGTCGGTCTCGGCCCACACTGAGAAGGTAACGGTCATCATCAGAGAATGACAGATCCGCGATGGTCAGCGTGTGTGCTGCGAGTGAAGGCTTGATCTCGTGCCAGTCGGATGTATCGTACAACCGAATCACGGCGTGGTCGAGGGATGTGGCTTTGCAGGCAGTGGCAATAAGCCTGCGGTTATGACTGACGGCAACAGCAGAGATTTCGTAACCGTGGCCATAAAGCTTCTCGTGTTCCGGCCACAACGTGTATCGCGCTAGCTGATCTTCAAGCGGTGGGGTGTCGGCTAACAAGGAATTTGCAGGTACACACGGGGCGCTGACTTCCTCATCTTCATCCTCCACTGGAGCCTCATCTCCATGAGCTTTGTTAGACAGACCCAAGACCGGAATCTCAGCGGTATCCGGCAGCTCGCCTTCAACCGTTTGCTTGAAGCCCGTCAACTTTTCAAGCAACTCCACGATCTGCTTAGGTTCATTGAAAACTCGCAACAATTTTTCGTCTGCGCCAGTCACAAATTGCAATGGTCCCAGGGTATCAACGCAATTCAGGTCATATCCATGAATCTGAGGACGGGAAAATTCGTGCCACGAGCACTTGTCCTCTCGCTTCCATGGAGCATGAAGACGTGTAGTTTGGTCGGCACTGGTGGAAAGCAGATAACCACCGCTAGGCTCCCATTGCACACCGTTGACGGAACGCACATGTCCTGAAATGCCAAACTTTTGTACCCAGATGTCCGCGTCGGTATCATGTTCCCACATTCTCCAGCTACCTGTCCGGCTCAGGCTGACTACTTTCTTGCCATCGGGCGCCCAGAGTCCAATCCAGAAGCCGCCAGTACTACCAGTAGCTGTAGTGGATCCCTTTTGCACGCTGATCTCTCCCATTCTCTCCACTGACATCCAGACACCGGATACTGGGTCTTGTTCCCAAATTGTGACTGTGTTATCAGCAGAAGCTGATAGAAGCTGCGACCGCGTTGGGTCGGGGTTCCATCTTGCGGTGTAAATCCAGTCTTCGTTTCCAAAGAGCAGGGCTTCGAACGTAATTGAGAATTTGGAACCAGCTGCTTCAAATTCATGGGCCTTGTTGGATAGCGTTGGCTCCATACCGCCCAGAAGAGGATCCGCATCATCCTCCACGGGTGCAGGAATTTCTACTTCGCCTCGGTGCAATCGCCATAGCCGAATGTATTTGTCCTGACTGGCCGAAGCAAGCAAGATATCGTTGGTACTGCTTTGTGTGTCTTGCGTGAACGAGAGAGATCTCACCCAAGCCTCATGACCAGAAAGCACGGCGCAACGTTGGAAAGTTGGCTTGTCAGACGTCTCCGCCACATAAATCTGCACAGTGGTGGTAGTCCCCGCGACGGCCAATGCCAGCGACTTTCCCTGGTCACCCTCGAGCACGCACAGAGCTAGAGATAAGGGGAAGAACCGGGGCTTCAATGTGATTGTTTCAAGCATTTCGCTCTTCAGTTCACCCTGCGCATTGACATTGAGTCTCCAAGTGCGCATCGTTCCGTCGGCAGCTCCAGTCGCAATAACGTCTGAGCCGTCGGCCACAGCTAGTGCATTCACCGACCCCGTGTGGCCCTCGAGCGTAGAGACATGTTTGTAATTGTCCAAGTCGGCGGAGTCTTGCCGCCATACTCGAATTGTTTTGTCGACGGAGCCGGTAAGAAGGAATCTCGTTCCAGTGGAGGGGCATGTGTAAAATCTGATTATGCTGACTTTGTCGGAATGACCCACGAGCAGGGCATGCACACCTCTATAAGAGGGATCCTATAAGAAATCTCAACTCAATTACATCCCTTCATCGGAGATCAGGCACTATTGAACCTACCAGAGGCTTCCACAAGGCGACATTATTGTCTGCGCCATAGGCTAGTACACCGGTCTGGACATCCCAATCGGCCGAACCGGGATGTCGGTTTCCTCCCACACTGATATAGTCGGTTGAAACAGACGGCATGTCGCAGGCACTCGAAATCGAAAGTCTGGGGTTGGGCTCGCCGAATGACGAAGGAGAAAGAGCTGTCGCAAAAGATTGTGGAAGATCCTTATCGATAAGAGTACACACCCCTCTCCGCCTCAATCTCTCTCCGACTTTCACATCTTCAAACTCTTTCAAAAGGACGAGCAGACAAAGTTCTTTCTGCCGTGTAACTTGCCTGTCGGATATACTCATCATCATGGCCGAAACCGCAACCGGGAGCTCCACCCTCCCCATCACCGTCGAGTTCACGTACCGTTGCTCCCGTCTCGAGATTACCCAGTCAGAGTTCTAACTGGTCTTCTTTTACAGTGGTGGTCTCGAGCTGCTGTTCGGCAATGAGCGCAAGCACAATGTCGCATTACCCGCCCAATTAAAAGATGGGAGCCAACCAAATATCTCTTACCTGCTGGGGTACCTGGTCGACAATCTGATGCAAGACCAGCGGAAGGATATGTTTATCATGGAGGACAATGTGTATGTGGATTACAAGATCTAGGTCAAACAACAGCTAACAACCTGAAAAGTCGACCAGGTGTTCTCGTGTTGATCAACGATGCCGATTGGGAACTCGAAGGCGAGGAAATGTACGAACTTCAAAAGGGAGATAATATCGTATTTGTCTCAACACTGCACGGAGGCTAGTCGATTGGCCTATCTATTTTCAAAGCAACGGGAGAGGGTTTGATACCGTTACAAATGTGGAAATCGCCAACTATAGTCCTAAACAACGTCTTCAACATGTTGCTGCGATATCCTCTCGGGCTCGCGGGGAGTCCGAACTCCGCTTGGAGTCCGCACTCCACTGATAGGCGTCGAGGTGCCTTCTAGTGGACTACCAAGGCCTTGCATCGGCGAAACCCCTCCACTTGGTGGCACCGGAATTTTCAAGTCTTCAGGCGAGTCGGGAATGATTTCTTCTGGGAGATCGGGGATGTGAATACGCGAGGCTTCATTCTGGTAGCTCTCGGGGATAATCTTTATGCAAATTATTAGCCATTAATCCACGCGGATGGGATCACGAGTGTTATACCTCAATAACCTCATTACGAGGAAATTCCAAAAAGGGAATATCGGCAGCGTTACAGGCCATGAGGTAGCCATACAAGACCCTCAAGACGCTTTCGTGGGCGATAATAAGAAGGTCGTTCTGCTCTCTCTCCAATTCCAGAATGATAGGCTCGAGACGGACAGCGAGGTCGTGATAGGACTATCGGGGATGCTGTCAGTAAGTCTTTTTCAGCACCCACCAGCAGGAGAAGTTCGTTACCTCTGCGCGGGGATACCGGTGGTGGTAGGGATCAAGCTCATGCTTTAGGACTTCATCGGGCCACTCGGCTCTGATCCGTTCCTCCGACATCTTCTCACAAACACCGGGGTTGAGTTGACTCATCTGAGATCGCTGTCGAACCTTGTATCCTCTGTCGTAGAGATATTTCGCAGTCTCGACAGTTCGGCGCCTTGTAGATGTCCAGACTTTCAGCGGTCGAAGCTCATAGCCCGTCTCGCCTCGGTCAATCATTTCCTGTTTCTCCGATTCACGATGGGCCAGCAGTTGCTCGGTCATCTTCTTAGCGTACTCCTCTCCTTGTTCGGAAAGGGAAGCATCAGCTTTATAGGAATCCGCCTCTAGTGAAACACCAGCCTAAATATTTGATTAGCTTGTATGTCCTTGCGAGACTAGCAGAAAAAATCCTTACTCGCACAAAGTAGGTCCGTCGTGATTTGATGTGAAGGTTGAGGAGGTAGAAAACAATGCGGTTGGAGAGGTAGCCGAAGCTTCGATTGTTGACAATGAGTCGCTCACCCGCGTTGATCATCTATAACAGTAAGCATGTGAGGTTTATTAGAGCTGCCAAAAGCGCAAACCTTGATATAGTTCAGATCCTTTTCTTCCATAGTTTGGAATTGAGGAATACGGGAGGAGATGCGGTTCAAGTAATGTTTGACCGCATCTTCTGGGCTCCACGAGACATACTAGAATTATGTCAGCTTGCAATCATCTCCGAGATTGATGCAAAATAACTCATGTACTTACATCTGGGGACGAGATCT